TGTGTGTGTGTGTGTGTGTGTGTGTGTGTGTGTGTGTGTGTCAAAGTAATACATTTGCATTCTCTTCTTCATTCACCATGGTGTTTGTGCCCCATAGGGGTCTAACATCTGTGCCATGCTTATGGGGAAAGCTGCATAATGGGAACACTTAGATGGGCCACCTGCATATTATGCCTTGCGCAGCCATTGGTGATATAACAGAAACATGGAGAGTGAGTAAGAGAGAACAACTGCAACACCACAGTGTAATTGCTTGATGACTTTGTCTCCTAGGAGGTTGAATGACTGTATCAACATAGACGGTTCATTGTTACGTTGCCAACTCCTTGACGGAATTTCTCTGTGGTGGAAGCAAAAAAAAAAAAATCAATTTCCCACCTTTAAACCTTACCCTGTGGCAGCAGTTGAACTGTGCCAAGAAGAAGAGGTATTCCTTTTCCATCACAAGAACAATTACAACACAGTGTGGGTAAATGCGGGTGCTGTTGGAGATCAATCACACTTTGATGCAAATCAAATGCCAATAAAAGCACAAAAAGCTCCCCTATTCACATTTGTTTGATTTGACAGTGCTTGCTATATTGTCCTGCCAGCCTAATGTAAAGTTTACCAACAGCTAGTCAAATGCAAAAGCTCTGAACATCAAGTAAAACATAATGTGTGCTATATATGTTGTTGAGTATTGTGTGTGCATGGAGTGTAATCACATCTCTATATTGCCATCCTAACAGAGATTATTTTTAAGGAATCAAAACATATTTAAGGATGGAACTGGGGCCCTGAAAGGCTTAATGAATGGGTCCTCATCAAATGTGATTTAATAGCATGTTGGATCAATAGGATAAGGGCTGGCCTGGTGAACATTTGCCTGCTCCAAGTTATTATTGGGGTTGAATGTTCGAGTCAGCTCCCTCCTTTTCTTCACCTTTCTTTCCAGGCATCTGGACTTTTCTGCACTTCTTGGTGTGGATATATTCCCTCCAACATTACTGGCCAAGTTCAATGGGCCCACCAACAACATTAACATTACAAAAAAAAAAAAAAAAAGAATATTGGCACATACCAATCCAGGGGAGGGGGATTACAGTTTAACATTTTGCTCGTGCAACAATAAATAAATGTGTTTTTATTGCTTTAATGAGTACTATTGATTAGTTAGGTTAAGATACAATGTGGTTATCATTGCCTAAATGTATGATCCATGGGCCCCTCCATGCAGCTTGCCCCAGATTGAACACTTACTTATCATTCAAAAAAACAATACTGAGCACAAAAAAAAGAGGGTTGCTGTAGAGGTAATGAAAATTAGCTCATAATGTCCTCTATTCTTCGGAATAAAATAATACTCTTCTACACTTAAACGTATACAGCCCCTCTGTGTTCAAACAAAAGGTGACTTTACTGCAAATAACTTGAGGTCGACAGATGAGGTGGTTCATGCACTCTTTCTCCCTTGGTTAAGAATTACTTCATTGCGCAAACAAATTACGAAGTCTGTTGTTTCACAAAACAGAGCAGCGGGGAAGTCTTCCATTCCTTCAACAGCATGGTGATTATTTTGTCACAATAAGTAGAGAGGTTTGTTTGGGTAAATGTAGAAGCATTTGAAATCACACTCGTGTGAATAAAACCAAAGTATTTAATCTCAATCTTTATATGTAGAGTATGTATTATAACACAGTCTTCAGGAGTGTCATCTCCATATGGTCAATGAGGGAAACACCTGACATTGATTAAAGAAGTGAACATTTTTATTTTATTTTTAAAGGACAGTAAAGTAAAGCAAGCTAACAAAATGTGCTCTAACTCTAAATAATCTTCGTACGCATTTTGGAAAAAAAATAGATAAAAGTGGCTTCATTTTTACATTTTTGGCTCATGTAAATCTGGTATCAAAACAACCCGATCGTAATCCTCTACAAACACACACACACACATGAACACACATATATAAAATTGGGTGGTTGGCAGCTCTCAATGTCGAGTGCCAGGTTTTAAAGTGACTGGATCGATACAGGGGAGTGAATTGCCAATTTCAGTTTGTTCTATTGAAATAGGCTGGCACTGCATTCTAGAGGGAGAGCACCTGAAATTGGCAGTGGCAGAGTGGAATTGGATTGTAAGGAAAGAAAAGAGTGAGCAGAATGATCAGGGAACAACTTGGATGTCAAAACACATACACATAGGACTTCTTTGGTCACTGATTCACACATGGTATCCAAGCCAAATTATGGAGACACCTATGAAACCCTATCCTTACACTGAAGTCTCACCTATCTGGACCCACTCACACACTCTCACCCACAGCTCAGCTCGGCTCCTTCGATTGTATCACCCATTGGCAATCAAACTCTGAGCTGGAAGAGTGGATGATTGTGTCTCCAGATAGTGAAAAGCTCATTCAGCTGATCTTCTCCATTCTGTTTACTGGGATGACATGGACTGAAGCCATCACTGAACTACAGCATGTATTGGCATTGATGGATGTCTGGCCAGAGAAACTGTACACAATTTAAGCCATAGATTTGCAGTCCTTTCTAACCCGACAAACTCAATCAACAGGGTGGAGTTCAGCTGCTTTTGAGGCTGCCCAAGGGCCCAAGTTGCTGAACTGCAGAGGATTGTTGCTCTTTCTGGGCAGCTCGAATAAGGAGCCCAGGGGTCTTCATGTGCATGACATCGTGTTTACATGTGAATTTAAATATGACATCCCGTCATATTTAATTTCAAGGCAAACAGGGGAACTATTCGCATGTAGGCTGAAAGAACACTGCCTGCTTTGGTTTTCTGCAAGCCCCAGCAAGTCCAACATGTGTGAGGACCAGAGAGGAGGTAGTGTCCTCTGCTGCTGACCTGTTTCGTGATGATGGTGGTGGCATTGTGTAGGTGTCACTGCAGAGGGTGCAGTCATCTGTCTTCACCCAACAAAGCCTGCTGAGCATTGTTACAAGACAAAGACGAAGTAAAAAAAAATTAAAAGCTCATAAAACGGCTTATTCTCTCTTAGACTTTTGCAAAAGAACAAAATATCTTTTACAATATATTGAAGGTATTAACACAAAGCTTTACAGTAACAGTTGCCAGTGACAACAGTTTTGCAAATATCGGATACTAAACTTAATCGGCCATCAGTGGCACTAGCAAACAGATCATATCATTTAAAGGAAAAGGAACTATATACAGCAATACTTACATCCCAAGAACAACAGGTAAGTATTACTATGAACAATTAATGGTTAATAGCAATTAATTAAAAAAAATAATTATATATATAGTTGTGTCTGCAATGAAACAATATAGCACATGCAATGATGTGTCACTCATTAAGTGTTGGCCGTGATGTATTCCAGCAGAAACTGCTAAGTACAACATGAAGCTTGAAAAGCTATCCATTAGTTTCCACATCGTTTTATTTAACATCATTTGCAATCTGATGTATAACTGCAGAGTATCTCAACTAATCCAAACGTAAGGTGATTACACATGGCAACCAAAACCTCTTAGAGGAAGAATGTATAACATTGTACACATAAATAAAGCAGAAATCAAGTATATCCTCTGTAAATGTCTCAGTGTCACGACTGTCTACAGAGTGAGAAGCATGAGTCCCACCAGCTGTGCTTGGACTATGAAACTGTTTTGGCAAAGGACTAAAGAAAAGAAGAATAACATAGCCTTCTCAATGCTCTCACTGTTTAGATCACAGTCATTCCGTGTCAATGTATGTGCAATATGAAGCTATGAGTTAACCAAAGTGTGCTAACATTAGCCTGCTAACACAACAATGCAGGCCACAGGCAATTGTGGTTGGAGATGTGCCACTGGAGGAGAGCGGAGGCTTCAGAATAGCCGAGGTGTCGCCAAACAGCAGTTTGTTTTGGTTTAATGCTGGTGTACATTCTTCCTTTAAACTGTAGGGCTGTTAACACTGCTGACTGCTTGGTGAACCAGGACATCATAGACTAAATCCAGACGAATTTGATTTGTTTTTACACACCCTGCAAAATAAACAGTTTTTGTTTTTGTTGAATGGCCAAGTCTTGGTTTCCCAAAGTGACATGCAAATCAGGGTCAGGCCTGAGGCATGTGGTGATGCATCTGAAGCTGTTTAGCAAAATGCCAACAAATGCCAAAATAAGTATAACCCTTTGCTCTTTAGCATTTTAGTTACACTAACAACAGCTCAGCTAAAATTAGCTAATAACTAACAGTCCAAATGCATGAATGAATCATAACTACCAACCAGACACTTGTTGTATTGTCTTCAATGAGTAACACACGCTGCTCCCTCACTCACCCGAAACAGATCAATGCTCTTTCACCCACACAGGCGAGTCTCCCCGTTTGAACTGTGATAAACGCTCCTGCAGTTCAGTATGGTTTGTATACGTGTAAAACTGACTGGAAACATGCCTTATGTTGTTTGAATGGCATAAAAATGGCTCTTGTACAGACAGTTAATTCTCCATAAAAGACACATACTCAGCTCTGCTGCTCATCCCACAAATGCATGTTCCTCACAAATGTGGCACAAAGGGAAATAAACATGCTTTCCAACGGTATAAACTTAATTGCAAAGAAGCATTGTTACATCAAATAAATAATCTACCAAACACAAATGTCCTTACTTTTTGTGCGATGTTTAAATGTGTATGCACAGGTGTTTCCATAACTGGGAGGCGGTGGGGTAAAGATTACTTGTGCTGACTCACAACATTCATAAACTAATAATAAATACACATTTATCTCTGGGTAAATAATAAAAAATACTGGCCAACACACACACACACACACATGCACAAACACCCACACACACACACACACACACACGCACACACACACAAACAGAGTGAAATCAACGTGATTGCAGGTCTGATTGGACCAACCTGATATGTGGATTTAGGCCGCAGTTGTTTCCTCACACTGTAGATGGTTATCCGACATTTTATAGCTTTGGGGGTGTGCATGCTGAGACTGTCAAACATGCACACACACATATCGTGTTCATACACACATACACACTCTGAGCAGTAAAGGAGTGCTGAGCCCCTGTGACCACAATACATCCCGTGGATTATAAAACACAATCTCACTTGAACTCAGGAGCACTTTGCCCTGCCCGTCGGAGAGAGCCAAGGTAAGACTGCAGTTGCAGGATGTTTGTTCGACTCAAAAATGACTTAAACTGTGGTTTATTTTATGAATATTATCCCCTACATAAATAAAAATCCTTTACAAATAGATTATTCATCTGTTGATACAGCATGATTGTCCATAATGATGCAGGATTATCTTTACTGTGATGCTGTAGGGATTAATGTTTGATAACACTTTCATCAATGTCTGAAAATCAAAACATTTACCTTGAGATATCTGAAAGCACTGCAGTAAAACTTTATCTTTAAGACGCTGCTGTAGCTTGCAGGTGTTTGTATATGCAGGTCACTCCACATTTGAGTGGACACCCCGAGTTTGTTAATGATAACGCAGGTTATGTGCAGCTCTTTGCCAGAGGAGTAAATAATTCACTGTAACTTGCTACACAGCCTTGAAGAACAGATGTCTGTGTAGGGCTCTGAATACTAATGTGAAGCCAGATTTCTGTTTTTTTTTTTCTACACTGATACATATTTTTTATTCCAGTCTTGAACGTAATTACAGATTACAAACCTTCTCTTGGGCTGATTTTCATTTTTAAAGACATGTCTCAAAGTAACCACTGAACTTAAGGTATCAAGTACAAGTTCAAATGGAATATCGGATACTATTCTAAACCTCCTGTGCTGATGGGAGGCTCAGCAGTAAAGCCACAAAGTACCCATGTGTGTTGCTAATTGTGGGCATATCACATTTATCACAATGACTGTCTAATATAGGATAAATCAAATGATGGGTTGTTATTGTTGGAGGCTATTTTCAGGTACATGTCTAAATGATTTATAGATAGCGTCAGCGTGTATTTTTCTGTGTGTGTGTTTCTTAGTGTTACATTTCAAGTTTGCAGGCACTTTTTAGTGACTCTGTATGATACAGAGGGGGTAATGCTCATGTTCAGCGCTCTGTCTCTCTCTCTCTTTGCCCTCGCCTGCTCTTCACAGCACATTACACCTGGTGGCTATAAGCTTCTCATTCAGCCAAATAGACACATACCCACACATACACATACAGACATTCACCTTGTTTTTGTCTCTGAGAGTACACTGGAGTGAAGCCTAATTGCTTGAGTGATATGATGGGTGCCTTTGAAAAGACTAGACCTGGCCTGTCTGGAAGATTTGTCAACTCCCTGATCCTATTTTCCTGTTTTTCTTCCCATAACTGTTATATTATTTATTTTAATGTGAGTGCCTTTTTCTCAACTTCTCAACGCTTTCCAAGAGTCCAAGGTTAATGCAAGGAAAATATGTGTGCGTCAGATCTGTTTACCATATTTTGGTTGTTTTGTGTGTGTGTGTGTGTGTGTGTGTGTGTGAGAGAGAGAATGTGTACGTCCTGCCATTGGGCCTCATTAAGCAAGGGAAGTTTGTTAGACCTTTGAGACCTTGCCTTAAGAAAACTTGGTGTCATTATTGGGTGTTAATGATGTTGGCCTCGGTAATCACTCACTGTGAATGTTTGTGTGATTGTGTTTGTTAGATGGGGAAAAGGCGCTTCTCCGGTTTGGAGGTGATCCTCATGGTCATGTTCACGTTGATGTTGGTGGTAGCCGTCACTCTCATTGGTCTGTATGTCACCGGAGAGCCTGGGACCCTCAAAGATGGTAGGTGAATATTAATGCAATTAATGCAAAGATGCATAGGTTAACTGTAACACACCTTCGCCCTGAACCCTCACCATATCCCTTCTGCTTTAGTGAAACTGCTCAAGCTTGGTATTCTCCACCATCAAAGAAGGAGAAAAAGCCTTCTGGAAACTTCCAAATTGTCTTATGCAAGCTAGCTAGCCACTGATATGTCCTGGAGACAATTGTGTGTTGTTAAGAGTAGTGAATGCGAAGACTCATAAGCTGGTAACCTTTAAAAAAGGTAATAAAGCCCATTTTCCAAGGTGGATAAGACCATATTTGCCGGCAAAAAAGGTCTACCTTAACTTTTTCTGTCTGGAGTTTGAGGCCAAATGTTAAAGTCTAGCCTTTACTGACACCAAAGTTAGAGCTACCAATACCACACATTATTAAAGGTAATCATCCACCCACACGGAATATATTTTCAGCTATAGTTAAAAGAAACATGCACTTAGTAATTATGTCTCCCTTAACAGTGACAAAGAATGCCATGCCTGAAGCATGGCATTCTTTGTCTTGTCAGGGACGTCCAAATCTGTGTTGAATACTACATTGTGAAGAAGAACTGAACTGCTAAAGCTCGCAGAAAATTCCTGTGGTAATTTAGGGAACCTTTCTAATCACTGTGGCATTGCTAACTGTCTGGTTAACAACATACACGCTTTTCAACAAAGCCTCCTAGTGGTCATTGTAATTGTGAATGGAACAACATGTATGAAATATTGGACCTAAAATTGTGATGCAACCTTTTTCTTTAATATCATTGTTAACATGTTTTTTTTTTTTTTTTAACCGCTTACAGTATTAGACTTTCTGCTAATTCAATATGACAAGATCACTGGGTTCTGGCTTTTGATTTTTTTTTTTTTGTAAATTTTTAATCTTTTGCAGAAACCACTGAAGAATTTGTTCCTCAGTGTCCCAACATTCCTCAAGCTGAAAGAATAGACTGTTACCCTGATGCCGGAGCTTCTAAGGTATGAGTCACTTTCAGTGATTTAAAGTTATATTTGTGCTGAAGGTTTTCTCAAAACCTTGAACAAAAATGGGTATTAAGAAGGAGTTGACACCTGCCTTCCTACTTGAACAGCAACTGTGTGAGAAGCGAGGATGTTGCTGGAGCCCACTGGATGAAAGAAATGTTCCCTGGTGTTTCTTCTCCACCAACCATGGATACACCGTGGAATCAGTAGAGCGTCCCAGTGCTCATGGTAAATCCTTGTTTCCTCTTACTCTACCCTGCTCATGCACTCGTCAGCAGCTGATGAAAGCATTTGGCTTCTATTCAGTTAATTTGTGTTGCTCCACATTCCTTCAATCTGTCAGTCTGTCTTCCTCCCATCATTTCCCCTCTTTCACTTACTTTGCCTACGGCATGTTTTTTTTATGTGAAATATGACATGGATGGCATATCAGAAAACATGATTGACTTTTGCAGCATGCAGGTTTTTCCATTTTCTGCTTGATTTCACTGTCGCATGGAACTCAGTTATTGTGTACAAGCAAGAAGAACTGTTGGAAATTTTAAATCTCAGCTACATCACTGTCGAGCCCGTCTTAATAAATGAATGTAAAAGAACAATATTCAAACATATCTGGGAAATTGTTTTCTATTTTTAAGTGGTGACATTGGAAAAGGGGTAAATGCTTATAATTAAAGGAACAACCCAATTGATCTTTTGTTCTTCTTCATAAAGGCTAGATGTTATTTAACAAGGAGTTGAACAGAGAGAGCAGAGTTGAATAATAGTTGCTTAGTCTGTAGGGACTTGGGCTGGGGACTGGAGGGATGCCGGTTCAACTTGGAACCTCCAACTCTTTCGGGGCGCAAATCCCTTTGCGGCCCCCTCACTCTGACATCTCTCCGCTAATGCATGTCTGTAGGTCCTGCTTGTGCTTTCTGGCCTATGCGTGCATGTGTTTAGCATGTTTCACAATAAAATAATTTCCCTCTGGATCAATAAAGTAAATTAAATTAATACTTTTTTTTTTTTTTTTTTTAAATGAGCTCACTTCTTCTCAAAGTCTAACTCTTTCAAATGGTTTACACTTCTTCTGCCATGGAACTGCTCATAGCTGCAATGCAAATCACCCACATTTACCTCAGAGGCACCTGAGGACTGTGTAGGCTCTGTAAGCATGCTGTACCCTTTGATCTTACTGGTAAATGAATAACCTGGAACTACATCTGTGTTTGAGTGAATTCCCTTCCCAGCTAACCTGGTGCATGTTCAGTAAGGTACTCCAGGGAGGACTCTAGTGTTGAGTAGTGTGAGTCACTGATCATTGAAAGGAAAATATTTTTTTGAGTAATGTTTTATTTATTTTGAATAAAATTATTTTGCCTTAATTACTTAAACTGTTGGTGCACAGTTTATCCAACAATTATTCTTTGAAGTTTAGGATTAAGGCTGGATTTGTTGTGATCATTAGAAGCAACGCTCAGCTATAAAACCACTAAAAAAGGTATTTAAAAATAGTTGTAATGAGTGCGTAAGAGATGTGCGCATATATTTAAGGGGACATCTGCAAGTCTTGGCCTTATATTTGCTTGGCAACTAGAAGATATTTCAAGAATTGTCTGCACTCACCCAAGAAACAGTTTAAGAATGCATTTCTGTGTTTCTCCAAAACGTGTTGTTCTGTGCACAGTATGTAGCAAGTATGGTATTATAGGTAGATTTGTGAGCACTGGAGTGATTGTAAGCACATTCAGTTGCCTTCTGATTGAGTCCAGATGGCAGTTTTCTTTGTGCTTGGCTAAGCTAGCTCACTCCTAGCATTAGCTTCAGATTTATCGCACTGCGTCAATCTTCTCGTCGTCCTCTTGGCAAGAATGACGCTTTTGTTGAAGCTTTCTTCTAAACCTTTTAAGCAAAGTTTAAGCAAGATATAACAATGCCAAACAAATACAATGCATTTTCTTTCATTTGACGTTTTTTGTGAAACAAACAATAGGCAACATGTAAAACTCATATGATCTGGTTATTTTCTGAATGATATTGTGTAAGAGTAGTTCTATGTATGTGTCTTTCTGTCTTTATTTTGGGGTGTTAAGTAACAAATGAAATATATTTACTGATGTTGATATTGTAACACTGAACTGCTGTTTTTATTTTTTATTAATAAATGCTGCAGTTCTTAAAGCCCAGCTGAAGAGGATGGCCTCCCCGTCGTTATTTGGGGCTGATGTGCAGGAACTGGCATTCCATGCAGAAATGCAGACAGACAAAAGACTACGATTTAAGGTACATACTTTTTCTCCCTTCCCGCTCTGCAAACACATTTTGAGGGCAACAGAGGACTTGTTAGATAAATCACCAGTCAGATTTATTTCAAAAGCATGTCCTTTTTTTAGGGCATGTTTAACCCCAACGCTGTACAGAGCAAAAAATAAATAAATAAATAACAAAGTACGACCATGACCACGAGATATAAGGCCATGCTCACATTGCCCGAACATTTGTTTCCTCTCGTCAGATCTACGATGCCCACAGGCACCGGTTCGAGGTCCCCCACGAGCACATCAGCAGTCTCACCAGTGACCCTTCCAGCGCCATCACAGACACCCTGGAGCTGACAAACAAGCCCTTTGGCCTCACTGTGCGCAGGAAGGAGAACAAAAAAGTCCTGTGAGTGCACACTATATGTTAGTCCTTGTATATAAGAACAACAGGAGCACATTTCATGTCATCTGACGGTATTAGAATAAACACTGGACAATTCATATTGTGGATATTGAACAAAATGTCATTATTCACATTGAGGCTTGCGCTGCATTGCAACACATAATATACTATAAACATAGGGTATACACTAATGCATAGCTGCACCTGTTTAGAGGGATGCTTGTATTTCTTAGTTGATTTATTGTTGCAGCTTATTGTTATGGTGAATATCATCAAGTGCATACTAAAAGCTGTGTTCCGAGTTGTTTACATAGATGTTTTTCTAAAGGCTGCCATAGTGCCACAAACAATATTATAAGATGAGCTGAGCTGTTGAATATTTAATCCCGTGTTTGACCTTTTGCTACTCTCATACAGTTGTTATCCACAGTACTCTCACAGTTTGTTGCAGAACTGAGGACTGGCAGTTGTCAATAGATTTGCATAGATTTTTTTTTCCGGCATGCCATTTGATGAAATCATGTCAGAGATACTCAAAGAAAAATCACATTGTCATGCATTACTCCTCATGGTGACATGTAGCACCTTCCCATGTTAGTTTTCCAAAGCAATAAGTGATTATGCTCACGTCAATCCAGGCAAGTTTGTGAGCCCTGCAGGGATACTGCAGTGATCAATTACCCAAATATGTGTGTCTATGTATGTGTGGGCACACAGCTCACAAGTAGGAATGGGAACAATCCGATCTTATATTGGTATCGGGGCCGATATTGAAGTAATTAACGTATGGGATATTGGACTGAGGGAGCCAATCCACGTCCCCAATCAATTAATATGGTTGGGAACTTTAAACATTCTCAATCTCACACAGACTCACTTTGAAGACATTCAGACTCAACTGTGCCCACATATTGTCTCCATGACAACATTCACAACAGATTGAACAGCTCCTTCTTTATGATAAAAAATACAACTCTTACACTTCAGTTTAAAAGATTACATTTTAAAAACCTGACAGCTGTTGCTCCTTCCTGTTTGTATGTGAAGCCAGCACAATGCAATGCCATATACTTGCCTGGTATCTTTTTTGGTAGCAGTACTTGGTTTACTACAGCTTTCTGTAGCCTTACACATACTCCCGACAACAACAACATTATTCGCTTGATATAAAAACTTCAGAATCAGCATTGGTATCAGTACATACAGTATGTATTGGAATTGGATCAGAACTGAAAAAAAGTGGATCTGTGTATCTCTACTCACAAGCTTCATATTGAACCCTTGGCATTACAATTATCATTATTATCATTGATTCTATGGATAGGGCACCTTTTGATAAATAGTTGCTTTGAGGACACAACACAACTCCATGTTTTTTTATTTTACTTTTAAGATGCATGTACCATAATCTTGACATCAACACTAATAGTGTATTGCACATCGCTGCGGTTAGTTTGTTGTGAATCAGAGCTGACTGCCAATTACAGGGCATGACGAATTTCCTCACGAGGCAAACATTTATCTCATATCTAGATGACTCAGAGGTTCCTTTTCTGGAAAGGCGAAAGCCACAGTTTCTCTTTTGACATTTGAGCGGCGATTGTGCAGCTATGATCAAACATTTAGTAACTAGCTCTTTGTATTGGTGTCAATCGTTTGAAGTGTTTATCTGCCCTGAGTATTTTATCTAATTGTCCACACTACAAAAAAAAGACAACCTCATTTTACTTGTGATATGTGGTTTCATCACATGATGGCCTTTGGCTTCTCACATAATCTTACATCACTTATACATTGTCTTGTTTTGCATATACATGACCTTCAAACAGACTAAGAGGCTGTTGAGAAGATTATCAGATCAGTAATCAAATCGCTCTCACTTTACTTTGCTCTCATAACCCTGTCTTTATGAGGCCAGTTGTTATGTGAATCTCCATAATTCCTCCTGGCTCTATGTCCTTTTTTAAGTTACAGGTCAGATTTAGCTTCTCATATTTAACCTATAGGACAAGAAAAAGATTCACAACCGTGATTGACGGTCAACACCTTCACCATCGGACAGGAGGCCGATATTGAGTCCATCACTGGGGAGAGGATCAAGGCGCGTGTAATGCGTGACCGCAAAAAGCTGAAGGTCTTCTAAAGGGAATCGAGTCAGTCACAGAACTGGTGGATGGGAGCACAATTGTCAATACATTTTGCTTAAAGTCAAAGTAACTTAGTTGTTTTAGCAGTGCCGCATCCAGACTCATTGATGCCTCAAAGTATGAGTCAGACAACAGCTTGAACAGACTAAATTAAACACACACGAGGCCTTAAAGTGCTTTTTCCTGCTCTTGAGGTCAATATTGCTTTCAAGAGCAACATTTATTTCACTTGTTTTATGTTTCTACAACTGTTTGATATTTCAGAATCACCTAGGCAGCATTTGATGACTTTAATAAGTCAGTAAAGTTGGGTGATAACAAGGTTAATGGACATATGATTGCTTTTTATACCTTATCTTATCTCAAATGTTATCATAAATTGTTTTGGTCAAGCATCATTTCCTCCAACTATTCAAAGTTTTATCAACAAGTACATGGACTATGGGTTACCATAAACACCCAGCTCTTTGACCTGCCAGGCGAGTGTGTGGATGCTTCCTTTTGTAACAAAAGAAGCTACTCAAATGTAACTAGTCATTCTTCATTCAATTTGAATTATTTACTTAATTTAGTTTATTTCTGGTAATGTGTTTCTCTGATGTGTTTGTGTGCATAACTTTTAATTTAATTAACCGCAGAATTAAACTGTACTTGTCCATTATGTCACTATATCTTTGTTTGTCTGCTGTATATGGTTGGAGTTTAGGCTTAGTATTTCAACCACCGGTGTATGTCTTGTTTTGAAGGCTGGAGAAAAGCTACCCAGAGGGCTTATTAGAGCTTGATGGGATGGTCTGTCTTCTCTTTGTTTTTTTTCTTTCTACAACTCAACTCCTTCACACGTCCTTGTCTTGTTCCCACTCCCACTCTCCTCTCACTGCATCTCACTCTCACTTTATTTCTCCCTCCTTTTGTCTCACATTTCTTTCTCTCTCTCTCTCTCTCTCCCCTGGTCTTTCTTTCCCACATACCCTTGCTCTTTCTCACATCAGTCTGTCTTCTCGCCTCCCAGTACTGACTTGTGCTTTCTTTTTTTATATATATTTAGGTTTGACACTACAATGGGCCCACTGGTGTTCGCTGATCAGTATCTGCAGCTGTCTGCTAAGCTCCCATCCCATAATATTTATGGCCTTGGAGAGCATGTGCATAGACATTATCTTCATGACACATACTGGAAAACCTGGCCAATCTTCACCAGAGATGCTTTCCCAAATGGGGTGAGGAGTGCACACATGTACATATTCACTTTTTTTTAAAGACAAACCTATGCACACACATCTACACATGCATCTGCATCAATACACGTCAATCCTAATAATACTCTGCTGTGTGTCAGACACCATGTGTGTTCAAAGGCTTAGACTTGACAGATCTCAACATGCTGTGTGTGTGCATGTGCGAGATGCATGTTAACATGTGCCTGCAACATGTGTAATTCTCCTTCCCAAAGGGTTTATAATTGAAGGCCTTGTAAGCTGATTAGGTGGTGAAGTCAACCCCTCAGTCTCAATACGTCTCCTGCATCCCTCGTATGCGTCACAAGCTCTCCCATTTGTTCCTTCATCCATCTGTCTCTGCTTCTACCCTGCAGGGATCCCACAACCTCTATGGACACTATCCTTTCTTCCTCTGTCTGGAAGATGAGAGTGGAAAGTCGTTTGGGGTCTTCCTCATGAACAGCAACGCAATGGGTAAAGATGAACACATAATGCAAGCACACGTGACAGAAACAAACAAATACACCCGTTTTATGGAACAGAGCCGATTACCTCAGAAGTAAACAGGAGCAAAACCACCTGTTTTTTTAAAAACAGGCAGCACATGTAGAAAAAGAAGAGAATAGACGCACAGTCGAAATGTGGACATTCAAACACAGACTCAGTTACAGAGCTCACAGTGCACCTTCGATACATCAGGAACTCAAACAGAAGATTAAAGTAAACCATTTCATCGCTCTGTGTAAAATGAACCAATCTAAGAAAACATTGTGTTTCAATATTGCAAAATATTTGTGTTTCATTCTTTAGAAGGAGATGAATGGAAGCATTCACAGTCCTAAAAGAATAATAAAAAAAACAATATTCTCAGAAAAGAGGTGCTGCAGGAGCAAAAATATTTGAGAGGGATTTAAGGAGTTATGATTTATAGTTCAGAATGGTATTGGGACATGAGTTGGCAGAGTTTCCATGTCTGGTGTCTTTTTTTTAATTTTTTTTTTTTTTTTAGAGGTGACTCTGCAGCCCGCTCCTGCTGTGACCTACAGAACTATTGGAGGAGTCCTTGACTTCTACATTCTCTTTGGTGACACACCGGAACAAGTGGTGCAGGAATTCCTGGTGGTGAGAAGAAAAAAAAAAAAATTTTTACCTTATACTTTGTACAACTCCATTAAGGCCAGGTTTTCTAGCTCTCTGTTATGTCAAAATATTTTGAGAGTCAGAGTTTCCTCTGCAGAGTAATTCAGTTTAAAAATATGTCTCATTGTGTTGTCCAGCTCATTGGCAGACCCGTCATTCCTCCCTACTGGTCACTGGGTTTCCAGCTTTCTCGGTGGGACTACGGAAGCCTGGATGAGGTCAAGAAAACTGTTGAGAGGAACCGTGCTGTGGGCATCCCATATGTAAGTCTTTCAGCCTGCTTAGAAATTGTGTTTGTCTTCGAGCCTAGGTGATAAAAGAAAATGTGGGTTGTAAAAATTTTAATCCCCAGATCAAATCTTTGCGATACCATAAATCCCATGTGTCCTTTTGTTTGTCACGTTCACGTTCAATATCTAAAGTGTTAGTGGTAAATGTCCGGCATATCAATTCTTGTCAGATTTGTTTAATGCTTGTGTTGATACTCACAATAAAAAGGCCCAATAAACTCATATCAGACTTGCTGTAAGGTGGTGGCGCAAGTTCACATGTGCACCATGACAGTGTGAAACCTAAAATCGGTTTCAAGATACTATAGTCAAGGAAATGAAGCCACGAGACTGCTTTTATTGATGTTCTTTGCTAAGTCAGAAAAAAAGAATCTGGGGACAAAATCTGGTCAAATCTTTGAATGCGAGATATCTATGTTTTTTTTTTTAAACTCTTTTTATTTACATTTTTCAATAAAGTGACAAAGATTTGTAAATGACAATGATACAGTTCTGAAGTAGTTTGTCAACAAACCCATAGTGCGGTGTATTTCTTTGGCAGCTGTATGGCATTTTGTGGGTAAGGTAAAAAAGGAATCCAGCTCACCTAGTGCACACCTTGTTAAATTGTGAACCACTCATGCACTGCTGTGTGTTTCCAGAGGCGAGAGCCTTAACCGCTACACTATCTGCACAGACGTGATGTGGAGGTTGAAGCAGGAGTCGGACAGACAGTCAGAGTGATAGGGATGGCCTTTAGCTTAGACGGGGTAATCCAGCTTTCTGTCAAATAATGAAGAGTCTGCCGGGCTCTACAGGTTCAATCCTGGGACAACTATTTTTCAAGCATCGCTGAATGTTAGCGCTGATCAAAGATCAATCGACCGAAATTCTTTCATTATCTCATTCGTCCTGATCGGAATGTTAAAACTACTCTAACTGCTCTTCCATTCTGAGACACTTGATAAATAGCAGTTCTGGTTGACATTTTGTCAGGGATGAGCCTCACATCTTATCTCCGTCTAAGCCGGCAACTAGTAACTATGAAAAGTCCATTCCACGCATGGCACTGATGTTTGATGTACCTTCTTTACTGTAATTACAGTAATTAGTAATTATAAATAATAATAATATAATAAAATTAGTAAACTCTGAGCTTTAATCTTTATATGCCCCCAATAAAACACTTCAACTCTATCATAACTCAGCAAAGGACTGCTCGAATCAAGGACACGGTTTGAACTCTGCCTTATTTAAAGATCAAACAAAAACAGATTTCAAACCATATCAATATTTTACTCTGGTAATCTTCAATCTTACTTTCATAGAAAAAGACATTAGGATGCAGCTGCTTCCTCTCCTGCCGTACTCAGGGACATATTTGATAACCATTAGATAGACCACAAAGGGCATTATCACATTCTCCCTAATACGTCTGGAGCTGATTACCATTAGAGGAAGGATCTGGCAGAGCCGTCCAAACCATCTGCTCTAGTGATATGAAGTAGGACTTTGCCAGACAACAGACAGACAGGGAACGAGCATAAAAATCACACCCTGACCAAGAAAAAGAAAGACAGAATGAAAGATTGTGTTAGAATTCCCTTCGTCCTCCAAAGGTTTAGCAGCACATTAACCTGTTGTTTGCACTCACACCAGGTCTCCAAAAGCCCAGCAAAGGACGGTCAAAAGACAAGCTAGCAGTTTAACACATTTGTTCACAGTGCAAATGCTTAGCAGTGATTTTATTAGCCATGCTGAGACTGGAATTTACTGTGTTAGGATGATGCATTACAGTGTTATTGAAGGTGCTGAATTTTTGAGTGGATATGTCCAAGTCATGCACAGAAGAGGGAGCATGACTGGATACATTTAAGAGGTATTACCAAGCTCAAAATTAGCTTGTTTTATTCATGCAAAATGCAAATGAGAAAGCCATTTTAGAATTTCCAATTAAGCTTTGAATATCAAAAGGCATGTATTTGGAAGTAAACTCGTCAATTTATGCATACAACATTCTGTTTTTCCAAAAGATCATCTAATTGCAAGACTAGGACACTGATTTCTTGTTGAAAATGAAATATGAGGAAAATTCCAAATTTACAATAAGTTTTTTTTTTCTCCATTCAGGACATTCAGTACACTGATATTGACTACATGGAGGATAAGAAAGATTTCACGTATGACAAAGCCAAGTTCAGTGAGCTGCCTCAGTTTTTTGAGTACCTTCATGAGAAGGGTCAGAAATACATCCTCATTCTGGTAAGAACTACTTCACTGTCGATATGCAATATATAGCCCACAGTTTACATTTAAACAAAAAAGTTACCCTTAAAAGTACCTACCCTTTCACTTCTGTTCCTTTTCTAAGTAGTATACTTAGTAGAAAGCTAATTCCATTAGGCAAGATATTCTTGTATGTTCTTGTATTTTTGTCTTGGATGAGTAACACCAATCAGTAAGGATTTTGTACATTCCAATTTTTAAATGTGGATAACACAGGCAGCCATTCCATAAAGTTTGTAATGAAGGTTCCATACTGTTTTTCACTGGCAGCTCATTTGAAACAAACAACTGTTTTTCTTTCTCATGTTTTTTTTTTTCCTTTTGTCCCCAGGACCCTGCAGTAGCTACCAGTAAGAGAGTAGGGAACACACCATATGAGTCCTATGACCGTGGCACTAAGAAGAATGCCTGGGTGACTGAATCTGATGGGAAAACTCCTTTGTTAGGAGAGGTGAGCTTCCTCTTGGTTCAAGGCACAAATAGTGTATACATATACTCCCTGGTTTTCCTCCTCTGGCCTTTTCAACACCAACCCTCCATCCAGTGTACTTGTCTTTATCTGCATTTTTTGTAAGTGGCTTGTCATATAGTTGTAAAGTCCAATCAAGATGTCTATATGGGTCAACCCTAATGCTGCACACTGCAGGTCAAATGCAAATGACCCTGTATGTTGAAGGCCTAGTGAAATATGTGACCATTTTGCCAAAAGGGGTAAATGCACCTTTTATACCCTTCAGCCATGACAGTGACATAGCAGTAGTGTCTACAGAAATGGGCTTACCAATAAGTTGGGATCTAGTTTATGTCTGATCACCATGATATATTCATATCTTTGGCTCGTTGAGTCAGTCGTCAAGCGGAAGGTTGGGGGTTCAATCCCCAGCTCCCGCAGCAACATCGGTGGCGTATGCATGTGTATGATTGGGATTAGTTACTTCTGATGATCACTTTACATAGCAGCCTCTACAGTCAATGGGTGTGAGTGGGTAGGTGTGACATGCGGTGTAGAAGCTCAAGTGCACTGATTGCTTATAATAGGACATTCTCCAGAACCAGCTATATTAGCATGTAACTGATCTACTCCTTAATATTTAAGTGAATGGTAAATAATTTAGGGTCAAATGTAATTTGATCAAGGTTGGTTAGGGTGATGGCAAAGTACGACTGTTCCCTGGCTTATGAGTAAATGGGGGGTAGACTCGGTTGTCTCTCAAACGGAGGGATCGGGAGTTCGATCCCCAGCTCCTGCAGCAACATGTCTGATGTGTCCTTGGGCAAGACACTTAACCCAAATTTCCCCCGCCAGCGGATTATGAATGTGTAAGAATGAGATAGTTAATGCTGATGGTCTCACTACATAGCAACCACTGCCATCAGTGTGTGTGTGAAGGTGTAGGTGTGACATGCGGTGTAAAAAATGCTTTGAGTAGTCAGAAGACTAGAAAAGCACTATACAAGCTCAAGTCCAATTACCATTTAAATGTTGTATAACGGCTGTATGCAGACACCCTATATTACAGACAGCACATTATGGATTCAAGCCCTCATGTCTATCAATTGTTGAGTGCATTTCCAGCACAAGCGTGGCTATATTTACAATAAAATATTTAGTTTTTTACAAGGCTGTTGGGAGGTACAAGGTCAAAGTCTAGCTGTTGTGACATTTGTTGCGCATGATGATTCAGGAGGTTTGAGCCTGATAAAACATTCATGGTTGTAGGTACATAGAAGCATCGAGGGCATGAATAAGTTATACATGTTTACATTATTCTTTTGGCAATATATCTGCTATATCTGTTTGGCATTTTGTTTATTCCATGACTCGTTAAAAGATAAACCACACCAAATGTCAGGTCAGAGCTTTTCCACCAAGTCTTTGAGCCTTGTCATTGAAAAACACATCAAGCAACATAAACATGAATACCTGCATTCCCTGTGAGTATCCATGTGTGACTGGTTCACCACAGTCTCAAACTGTAATAGTCCCCAATGGAAGTTCAAGCTCGCAGTATGTTATTTCTGATCGTTTTTTTCCCCATGGAGCACATGTTAAAAAAAGCTCTTTGGCAGAGAGGGCTGGAGGTGGGGGGTCAAAGTCTGTTGCTCTGATGCTTTTATAGTGTTGCTTTTGATTACCCACACGATTAGGCCCAGTCCCTTTGCTAATCACTTTTTCATGCTGTTTATAACAGGTCAAACATATGCATTGATTCCGCGTTAGTGTTTAATCTTAAAATGTTCTGCATCATCGCACCAGGGATTAAGTGTGCGCACAAGTGTGTGTATGTAGGAGCGAGAGTAGGTAATAGAAGTCAGTCTGCTTGTGCATCTGCGTGTATACATTTCTCTAAATGAGAAGCTATTCTTGGTTGTTTGTGCTTTATGTCTGTGCATGCATGTGTGTAATAATAATTGATTCGAGTTTATTTCCATATGAATGTATGTGTTCTGGTTATGAAAACAGTGGGGTCTTCGCAGAACGACCTTTACGGTAGCTGTTTCAGTGATAAAGCGGATACAGAGGCAGACGGCAGCCTGGCTTTTATTTTGCTTCTAAGATGGCTAATTGCTTGCAAAGATAAGGATGAAAGCTTTTCCTGGTGGCCCCCATATGTATCAGTGCGTGAGTGAAAACACTGCACGACCTCATGCATTTCTACATGGAGCTCTTGGGCAAAAAAAAGGGAAAAAAGGATGGCGGTAAACAAAGCAGCCGGCGAGAAAGGAGTCTGTGTTGCTTTTCAAGGTAGAATTGACAGACAGTACCACAGGCAGGTGCAGGTAGACTGACAGTCACAAATAATAGATCAGAGAGTAATGTACAGGGAGACAGACTGGCTGTCTTTCTGAGGGGGAGAGTGACAAGGTGGTACACAGTGAGAGACAAGAGACAAAAGGCAGATTATCAGGTGAACACCAAAAAGGACAAACAGGATGGCCAGTAGAAAGTTGTGCCTCTGTTTCTGAGCAGAGACAGAGATAGAGATAGAGGGGAATCATAGAGAGAGTTGCTGACATAGACAGGCAAGACTGACAGACAGACAGGAAAGCATAAAAAACAGACAAACAGGCATAAAGATAGAGTGAGATACGCTGCTACAAATGCCAGCAGATTTGTTGAAAGTGTTTACTGCCGTGTCAGTCTTACTAGGCAGCTGGAAACAACAGACAGACAAAATCGAGAGATAAAGACGGAAAGAAATGACTGTAAAAAAAAAAAAAAAAAAAGGAAAAAGATGGAGACTACGAGGGACTGTCAATAAGCTCTGACCTTGGAGTTTCTGACCACCTGCCAAAAACATCTGCCTGTAAATCTATTTGGTGTGTGCGTGAGCATGTGTGCGGGCATGTGAGCGAACAGGAGCGTGATTCATGTCTTTGCTACACACTGGGTTGTAAAGTTATTGGCAGTGGAAGTAAAAGGTAAAAGATAGCTAGCAAGAGCAACCTTGAGATTTAATATCTACTGTGTTCTATCTACAGAAGAGTTCACACAAATGGGCACTCACACACAGACACACTCACAAATGAAATCTCTGCCTTTCTGGGTGGATTAATCATTTTTTCTCAATACATGTCATTAAGGACGACTTCTGACACACAGTCACGTCTAGAGATTTCTATTGCATTATCGATTTCTCCTCTCCTGTTCTGCTCCTCAACATCTCTCTCTCCCTCTCTCTCTCTCTTGCTCTCTGTCTCTCCCTCCTTTCTCCCATTGCTCATCGCTCTCTCATCAATCCCGCCCCCCTCCCTTACTTCATCTCTCGTCGTCTGTTCTCGCTCCTTCGTCATTTCCACATCTCCTAAGCTGTTACCCCGACATAGGAACACTTTTAGCTTTTTGTGAAGCTCAGTACACCCACGCACCCTTAACTGTTGATGCACCTTTATGTTGCTTACATGTAGAGCATCATGTAGTTGAAAACATGCTTCAGGTGCTTTTTAAACTGAGACTGACTTTCCAATGAAGTTTTGCTAAAAATATTCCACATAAGGGGAATACAATCAACAGAGAAGCTGAGTGCGTAGCCAACACTTTGCAGGGTTTTAGTAAAAAATGATTTAGTACTTTTAAACACATTCATCTCACACACTCTCCCTTCTCAGGTGTGGCCAGGAGAGACTGTATTTCCAGACTACACCAGCCAAAATTGCATCGACTGGTGGGTTGATGAGTATGAGCGCTTCTCCAGGGAGATCAAACACGATGCCCTCTGGATTGTAAGTCAATTTTCAAAAGAACTTAAAATGAGGAGTTTGTATTCACTTATAGTTCTTACTTACTGAGAATTCTGAAACTGACATTACATTGCAGCCAATTATTGCACACCAGGGCAGTGAGCTTACTTTTTGGTTTTTATTACACCACAGTGAGTTAAAAAAGCAGGGCCTGGGAAGAGCACCAAACACAGGCTGACACAAAAACAGGCTGGAATCATATCAAACCGTTAATGATTCCTCGGCTACACTTTTTTTTAGATTCGCCTCAGTCATTACTGGAGCCGTTTGCTGCAGTACACACCATTTCACTTTTTTACTTTACTTACTAACTTACTGACCTTTGCACAAGTCACTTCACTAATTTTGATCTAGAGTAAAATAGATCTAAATAAATATTTATTTCAGTGTGTTATGTCTTAAGAAAAGAAGGTGTTTATTGCCTTTAAACAATGTACAACAAAACAGGGCTGAGCAGGAATCCTGGTTTCAAATGCTGTTATCTCATGTTAGAAATACTTACAATCATTGGAGATAATGATCTGTTTCAATTCATAAGAATGTTACAATTTGAGAATGACAATCATGTTTTATTAAACTATGTTTTCTGGTTCACTTGCAGGACATGAATGAGGTTGCTAATTTCAAGAAAGGGTCAACTAAAGGCTGTGCAGATAACAATCTCAACTACCCTCCCTACACGCCAAGTAAGTTTCTTATTATTCTAAGTATGGAGCGAAAGTCCCACTTATTATATACAATCAAGTCAATTTACCATCTAATATCATCATATCTATGTTCATTTAAGAGCCATGATTGAGATTGATTATTGTTGGATTGTCCCTGCTTTCAGTCATAACATGATGCTCTAAAGCCACTGTAGAAAAAAGTAGAGGGTGTCATAGGCTTGAAGCTTATAGCACCAATACTGTGTACAAGTTGATAAATTCAACACAAAAACTCATAAAGTAAGTTCATGTCCAGAGGAAAGCTCATCTTAAATAGTGGGTCCCTGGGGAGGAATTTTGGAAATGACTCGTTTGCCATTTCTTTTACTTGAGCTGTGTCGCAGACGAGATGATCATAACTGGAAAAGGCATGCTCCCCTGATGCCACCTTTTTATTGGACTTCTCCTTAGTCATCCTATTCCTCCATTCCCCCCCCCCCTCTGTACCTCACTTCCTCATTCTCGCCACCTCCTATTGCTCTATATATCAATGTCCTTATTTTCCTTTCCTGCGCCCTCTCATTCCTATTCCTCTTCTTCCCTCACCGCATCCAATATTTTGTATTCATCACATACCACATCTCAACTTACCCCATCTCTTCACCTTCTTCATTGTTCCTCTCCCCCCAGAGATCCTGGATGAGGTGATGTACAGTAAGACTCTGTGTATGGACGCCAAGCAGGCCTGGGGGAGCCACTATGATGTCCACAGTCTATACGGCTACTCCATGGTGCTGGCTACTGAAAAGTGAGTGCATTTACAACAAGTTATGGCAGTTAAGCCAGCTTCTTCTTGGGAGACCAGCTTGCAACAACCCACTTCAGAGCAATGAGACATTGGCCGATCTGAAATTCATTGTGTATTCAGAAACGTTCAACATACAAAATCTTTAAATTAAGTGTTTTAGAATAAGAGTTTACTGAAAGTTGGCCCCAGAACAGAATAGTGTAACTAATGTGCAAAATTGCAGCAGATAAATATGTCCCTTTAGTGCAGCTGTGACTTCTGCCCTGTGGTAAATTGTTGCATGTGAGACTCTCTAGTTGGATTCCGTGTGATAAGCGCAGAATGGGATTTAATGAGTCCAGCTCCAAAAGTAAGTGGATGGAGTTCTACCCTAAGTCTGGAATTGGGTCAGTTTGAAGGCCCATTAGCTAAGCAAATGTAAAGGGGGGAAATCAATAGGAAAGTGTGGGATCAATATCCTGGCAGAAAAACTATCGCTACTTGAGTGAACCATTGCAAACCTACATAGAAATATTAGGCCTGTTATACATTTAAACCTCTTCAATTGTTGCATAATTCCGTGTGCATTGTGCAAACAGATGGCACACCACAACTTGTGGATATACCATACAAATAACACCAGTGATGATATCGTGTTGTGTGACTCGGCTCCAGAATGAATGTAGCAAAAGTTTGCAAGAGCATGTCTGATTTATCCCAGAAAAGTTAAGCCATTATAGTCAGATGAGTACATTTGTGGAAGCCTGGCACATTAGCGAGCGTTGCACTTAAACATCACAGAGGTACACTGCATTGTACATCTAGCTTAGTGCAGACATCTATAATCTCAAAGCCCTTAGCTACTCATTTCACACAAGGCTAAAAGTTGGCATCAGTTGCTGGAGTTGTAATTTGTTCTAATGGTGATGGTATGGGAAATTGCATCAATTAGAAAGGAAGCACACACCTGCACTAATAGGTTTTCAGCTGATGGGAAATAACTTCCCATGAAACTGAACTAAAGAATTGAATAAACATACTTATGGTAAATGGTAAAAGGTAAAAGATGGCGCCTTAGCCAAGACAACTGGAATGTTTCATTTTCAACAATGGGTTTTATAAATCAGTATTGCAAGTATTACATCACCTTTTGTTCACTTATGGGGCAAAATCTGCAGCTATTTTATGATGATTCATCCCTGCCATGCGTTGTCAAATGTACCTTTAGATTCCAATAGAAATCATTACATTTGAATATAATGCCAATGTGACCTTTCAGGTATTTCTTTATTTCCCCTGAATGAGGCCGCATAGTGTCTGCAGAGGCATATAACATTATTTCTTAGTGGTACTTTAAGCCCTGTGTTCCCGCATTATTTTTAAAAATTCATACACTATGTACGGTTATATACAATTGTCAGAGCCCAGTTATTTATTGTAGACGCCTATACTGATAAATGCAAGCACTTACAGGTACCTTATTTCCTGCCACAACCACAGAAAGAAACATAACACTTACATACACGGATATACACACAGATTCAAGGGACACCCTGAAAACAAGTCTGCAATTTACTGACTCATTCCTTTAAGGATAGCTCATCGTTCTATTGCCTCCTTCTTCACTCCCTCCTTCTCCTCCTCCCTTTGTCCACTAATTAAAATGTATTATTGGCAGGAGACACATTTTGTAAACATCATCAGGGCTTTCTATTGTCATGGAAATCAATGATGCTTTGATTTCCCTCATCAAACAAAATAATAATGAACAATGGGGAGGGAAAAGTAGTTCTAGTTCTGGCTTTGTCCCCATCCAATATCTCTCTATCTTGCCCTCACTGTATGTTCTTGTGTATGTGTTTTAAAAGTCTTACTCCCTTGTGTTCTTTGAGTCATCCTCTCCCTCTGAGTCCCCTTGTCCTTTTTATCTGATTGACCCCTCTCTCTCTCCACCCTCTTGTTCTGCGTCTCTCCTTGATGCTTCTACTTCGTCCCACAGAGCTCTGCAGCGTGTCTTCGGAGGAAACCGTACCCTCATGTTGACCCGCTCCTCCTTCCCAGGTGTGGGAAAGTATTCGGGTCACTGGCTGGGGGATAATGCTGCCAACTGGAACGACATCAAATGGGCCATCCCAGGCATGCTAGAGTTCGGGCTCTTTGGGATTCCGTATGTGAGTAAAATTTCACACAAAGGAGTATATGCTATTCCAGAAAAAAAAGGACATACATTACTAGCCATTTCGATGATAGTCCTAACAGAGCTGTGAAAACAATTATTTTATGTATTTTATTCCTATTGGAGTTTCAAATATTACATCAAGAATTTCAATATTAAAATTACAATTTGGGCCTAGTTGCAAGTCGTTTTATATTTGATATTTTCCTAGCATTTATTCTAAAAAAAAAAGTTTTCAATTGATTTTTAATTGCCATAAATTTTGGTAGAAAGAAAACACCAGCCAACCGAGAGCCTCATGCCGTCTGGTTATGGAGCTTTTTTATTAAAATAGTTGGATGTGCTATTAGCTGAAAGCTGTAGTGCTCTTCTGTAAAAAAAACAAAAAAAAAACAGGACCATCTAACTCTGAGATTCTCAGCCAGAGCCAGAATGAGCTCTTTTGTGTTTTAGTTTAGTTAACATCTTGTGCTGGCACTCTCAGGCATCTCTCAGCCTTTTAAAATGAATTCAGCTGTTAATTGAGATCTATGTTCCAACACAAGCGTAGAGACAGAGGGGCAGGCAAGATTGTTTGGAATAAGATCCTTCAAGAAGTATGGAAGCACACTGATCCTCTTTGTTGGAAGAGCAGCTAGTTAAAAGTCTTGGACTAGAAACACACACTGCTAGTCAGTACCCAAGTGCACTCTGGACTGTGTACTTGGGTATGTGTGCATCTGTGGAGCATGGAGTTCAATTTGCGGCAAGAAAACAACAGGGAGTCGAATGCACACAAACATAAACACACACATTTGTCCAGCTGTGAACAGCAGGTGGTCTTACGGATGCCAACTACATCCTGGCGGGACTTTGTCAAGCGGATTTTAGGTTTTTTAGCACACACAGACAAACACAGGAACCAAAAAAGAGACAGAAAGAGAGACAGCAGGAGAAATGGGATTTGGATCGATTCCCCCCCATTGAGTCTATTGTAAATGTGGCCAATAGTAAACAATGGAAACAAGCAGTCTCAGTGGACTGGCCTTTGACTCGAGTCTCTTTCTTGGACTCTGTGGTGCAATTAATGTAAATAAAGATCACTGCCGGCATATGCCTTCTGCCAATAATTCCTGACTTAATTGAACAGACGTCAAGTAAGACATTTCAAAAGACCAATGTGTGACTAGCTATCAAATCGCTGCCTCTTTTTGTATTACTGCAGGAGACTGTTGAAACTCAAGCTCGGTTGTCTTTTTTCCTACTGGGGATGCCTGGTTTGACATTAATAGGGTACACAGAGCTACTTGATTGTATTTGCACTCCCCTCATAAGTTGTTTATGTCAAATGGCAAGCCATGTGAAAAATTCCCGTACATTTATTTTAACATTTAAGACCTTAATAGAAATGTACTGTAAGTTCAACCTAAATGTCAAACTGTCTTCCTCTCGTGTTTCAGATTGGAGCTGACATCTGTGGATTCTTTGACGACTCCAGTGAAGAGTTATGTCGCCGCTGGATGCAGGTGGGCGCTTTCTATCCCTTCAGCCGGAATCACAACGCTCAAGGCTACATGGTACTGTAAACATACTTTCTTTTTTTGCTTTTTTTTACATTAGACTGTTATTCCTATATATATATATATATATATATATATGTGTGTGTTACATCGTCCTAGTCTGCTGTAAAGTGCTACAGGGTATATTCTTCTTATAACATTGTATAGGTATGACAACCTCAGTTTGTTAATGGGTATCTCACTTATTCTCATCACAACCATTTACACTCCAGATGTGTTTCCAGTTGTATAGTAGATTACAATATCTGTCCATAGGTCTTGATTTGCCTGAGAATTGAGGTGACAATTTGTGTGATGACAAATATATTGGAGAAAAGAGATTCCAAACGAGTAGGATAATGTTACAAATCTGAATTGCCATTCATGGCGAGGCCTTATTTTAAACACTACCTTAAAGTGCACAAAGTAATAGTAACGTTAGGCTGAAGATAACAAAATTGTTAACTGTACATGATAAGTTAACATTAGCTAACATCACCAAGAGCAACCTGGTACACTGTTTAATAAAGTTAAGAGTGAAATAAAGATTAATATCATTTATCTTCTTACAGCGTTGCTCTCACATAATTTTGGATCTGAGAGAGTAAAACACTCTGTATACCTGGCTTGTTGTACATCCAAATGCATACCACTTCAGCTGTTTACTGTTTAGCAGAGAGGGTGAAAAAAATCAACACAGATGGTATTTCAAAACCTTTTTAAGGCCTAACATGAAGAAAGTCACAATGACAGCAACTATCAACAGGTAGGCTATAATGATTACTTAGACTATCATTAAATCAGAGCCATAGTTATGTTTCTTCAAAAAGCGCATAAAAAATGCAATTAGAGAAAATGTTATGGAGAGGCACAGGAAAACCACCCGCCGAGCCTGCCAAAGTGTTTATATTGATGTTACATACTGTGCTATTATTGTGGATGAACACAAATTACTCGGGAGAATAAGTCAGAGTCCAGTATTGAAAAGCGTTGAAATTGTTGCTCTCTCGACATTCTCCATGTGACATTTCCACGCTCATCACTGCTTCAAAAATAGAACAGCATCTAGGTAGGGAATCAGAGAGATAAGGGGGAGGGGGTGGTGGGTAAGAAATGGTGTGTGTTGAAAGAAAAAGGCGGGGGGGGGGGTGTATTTGCTTGTGGACAGGGACATGATGATGATGAATTTGAAGTACTATTTTCCCTAAACTAGACAGCTAATGTTTGACCTTTGCCTTGCCCTAATCATGGCTCTCATCACACGTCCATGCAGGCCAGTCAAAACACACACACACACACATACACACCCCATCCCATACATACACCACACACACAGATCTCATCGCACTCTCAGAGGTGCCGAGGGCATAAATGATTAGCCAGATGAGAGGAGCACGGCCTGTTAGCAGCTAATCACCCTCTCACTCTCCACTATCATAGAAATTAAATCATACTTCTGTTTCATTCTCACACACTTTCCACCCTCTTTTTTTCCCTCTTTCTCTCAAGTTCTCTTTTGCTCATTTTCTTGGCAAACTTCGCTGTTAGATTAGTGCTATGTAAAGTTAATTTCCATTTTAATCATTATAAATAAGGTTAATGTGCACTTATTCCTCATGAATAAATTGGTGTTGTTTAAAAAAAAAGAGGAAATTAACAGTTCCTGGTTTTTCTTCTTCCCCCTTCCCCTTAAGCTCCTCACCTCTGCCACCACTCCTCTTCACACTTTTCTTTCCTCTCACTTCAAGTCTCCACTTTTCTCATTTTCCCTTTTTAACAACCTTCTTCTTTCAGCACACAATCTCCTTTTCTTTTACCCCATATGAATAAAAATCACATTTGACTTATTTCTTTAATTCCTTATTCTGCTTTGGCATTCATCATCACAAGCCATTTAATGTATCTTTCTGTCTCCAGCCCCAGGATCCAGCTTCCTATGACTCTGACTCAATGCTGGTGAAAACATCGAAACACTACCTGCTGATCCGTTACACACTCCTGCCTTACCTCTACACACTCTTCTACAAAGCCCACACCACAGGAGAGACTGTTGTGCGTCCTGTCATGCACGAGTAAGTCATGGGTTTTATTGTAAGCATACTTTAACATTCTGATAATACTAATTCTTATAACAATTTAGCCAGAGCTGCTGGTCAAGGACTTGACCATTTCTAGAATACGTTCATACAGTTGGATTTAGGGCTGCTGTTGGAATAGAATAGAATAGAATAGAATAGAATTACTTTATTGATCCCAAACTGGGAAATTTGAAAATTTGGAAATTTCCCAGTTGGAGGTAGGTCTCACAGAATTTAAAGAAGGGAAACGTATCTGTGAGAGAGCTAATCCTCAAAACTAAAATTTTACTCTCTGCTAAAATGTATTAGCAAGAAGCACAGAGCTTCTGTAACACAGGATCATGTGTAAGACCTGGATAACCAAACATTAATTAAACACTAATTTTCAGTTAAATAAGAATTGTGACATGTTGGACATGGAAAGACATATTCCTAGCTTTCCGTTTACCTCCGGGTTAGATGGCCTTCAGAAAATTACTTTTTGTGACCTCAAGCTTTAGATTTTATGAATTACAAAAAAACTTTTCCTTGGCTAGTAGAAAGTGTTATAAATTAAACATCACTTTATGAAAAAAAATCATAAAAAGGTAAGTAGCAGTTTCAGATGTCCTGTCAACATTTGTGGCTTTGGGGTCATTTGGGATTTTTTCAATTACTAATAAAGATACCTGGCATTTGTATAGATATACATTAGGCATAGATACTGAAAACAGGCCTCCCATTCTCCACACAAAACAAAAGTTTCTTATTTATTATTATTCCTGTTTTCCTCATTGTTGTTAATTAATGAAAAATCTTGAAATAATTAAACATAAATAAAGGACCTGGCTGTTTCGCACAATGAATCTTTGCCAGAACATAATTGCATTCGATACTTTGCTTTATCATGCTTTAGGTTCTACTCTGACAGAGCTACATGGACAGTGGACCGCCAGTTTCTATGGGGAAAACATCTGCTCATCACACCTGTACTAGACCCGGTCAGCCAATACACACACACACACACACACACACACACACACACACACACAAAATATAAACAAACTTGAATCCTTATAGTGCATGCCCCGTTTCCACACATACTAAGTACAATGTATGTATTGTAGAAATTCAAACTATCTTATTCCTTTAAGTTATTTCTATTTACTGTAGTATATAGAAAACTGTGTCTTGCAGAGGATGCAGATCAGTTACTCACACAGCCATACATACTCACGCACAGACACACACACACACACACACACACACACTGTGACCTCCACTGGGAAAACATGACATGGGATTTTCTTTGTTGCCCTCCCCTCCTCTCATCCCTCTTTCTTCTCTCTTTCATACCCTCCCTCTTTTCTCTCTTCTCTAATGAGAGCACTGACCTCATTACTAACAGATTAGAAGTGTAGATAGAAGTGTGTATATGTGTGCTTGTGCATGTTTGTCTCATTGTGCATGTCTTGTGTGTACATTTAAATGTGCGTTCCTGCACTTGCATGTGTATGTGCGCTTATACACAGCGATTGCGGTCATGTCAAAGTGGCCTGATTAATAAGCAATTTAGCGTGGCCTCTTGCGAATTACAGAACCGTGGAAAGCGATTTGGATTCATAGTGGGGCCAGGGATAAAGTAACTTCATCAGTGTGAGTGTGGAAAAGTTATGAAAAAATAAATGGTGGTGGTGGTGGTGGGGGGGGGGGTATGCTTGTACTGCTCTAGGGTATGAGCTGACTGTAAAAGGGCTGTAAGGTGACTATAACGTTTGTGCATCCATAGAATATCAGCAAAATTGACAAACAAAAGGTCATCATGCAAGGGGCATGGATCACCTAATTGCTGTTGTCAGGACAACAGAAACTCATTTTTAGTGGGTGTGTTATGGGTTGGCATCAATTATGACCAAGCACTCATTTTCTTGACTCTTTAAAAGCAATGTGCTCTGCATCAAAGTGCCCTGATAATTGAATAGGGGGGAAATGGCTGCAGGAGAAACCAACCTGCAAAGAGACTATTATAACCTTGATTGTTATGCTGCAAAAAAAAAAAATCCATGAATAAATGTAAAGTTTGTTGGATAAACTTAGTGACACATTTCTAATTGAACTTTGTGTATGCATAATGCTCATCTGCCATCTCTTTGCATGACACTGTAAGGAACTATTGGACACAAGCACATGCACACGTTACTGAGTTGGAAAGAAAACGATTTTTTTTCCTCTCTGCTTGAGTGAGTTAAAATCAATTGCACCAACTTGATATTGAATGTTATACAACCTGGGTTTGTAAGTTCACACCAACAAAACCAAGGATCAACATGCTGCTTGATCAATATTGAGAAGGCTTCCTACTGAACATCTCTCTCTGACTCATAAACTGGAGTTCATGGCAGGTAGAGAAATACCAAACAGGTACACTTTGGCCATGAACAACTACAGATCTGATAGAACATACCCACAAAATTGTAGTGATGTAGCCAATACAGTCACTATTCATACAGCAAGTCTGAGGTTGTTCAGTACATTGATTTAAATGTCTAAATCAATCACTTGTACTTAAGGCTTAAACTTCATAAAAGGGAAAACATCAATATTTCCATTTGGTAAGGGGTGTCATTGTGGCCAGATGGGTCTTTTTGCATGCACAACTGAAGTGAAAATAGACATACAGAAGCAGACATTGGCTTTAAAGGCTCCGAAGACGTCCGCTATTCTACTTAACAGGGGACCATCTAAAATGAAAGATCAGAGGTGTTTGAATTTCCATCTTCAGTGGTGACAGGTTACTGCTGAGCTGTGTTGTTGTGGTGTAAACCAGGGTAAGTGCAGGCATTAAGAACTGAGTGCCCACTATCGTTTCCAGATGCATCAGGCTGTGAAGGGCCACATGAAGAGATAGTGTCAGCTACTCCAGTGAGGTCACTGGCTGGTCTTTAACAACCCTTCACATCCTTCCTTCAAATTCCTCTTTCATTATTCTTATCCCTCTCTCTCGCTCTCCGTCTCTTTCTATTTATTGGTCCGTCCACCTGCCTCTCCCTTGCTCTAATGATGCTCCCGCTCTCTCACTCAGATCAGTCAGCGCTTTAACCTTGATCTCTGCGATAAACCGGGGTAGATCTCCTTCACTCTCTCTTTCTGTCATCCCCTCTAGTCTTCATCCATGTTTCCATTCTACCGCCTCTTGCCCATTACTCCCTTTTCTTTTTAGCTCATCCTTTCATCAAACGTTGGCTCCCTTATCTCATCTGCATTCTCTTAATCAGCTGCTGTCAACTCACCCTTGTGATCCCGTTTCATTTCATCCCATATCTCTTCCCTCCTCCCTCTCTTTTTCACTCTCTCTTTACCCCTGTATCTCTCTCTGGCCCTCTCATCTACCTCAACTACCATCTGATCATTCTGCCAGCATGAATCTTTGGCCCACCTGATCAAAACTTACCTCATGGCTAACTGTGCTTCAGTACTCTAAATGAGGATACAGGCCTCGCGCCTTGTCCCTCTCAATCACAGTTAGCAGCCGTGCTAAGTCCCGCAGTCCCCTCGCATTTGTCAGCGGAGTGAGTGATTGGCGCCGGGAGCAAATCAGACACCAGAAAACGAGGTATAGGGGGAGCATCTATTTCCCCAGGCCATAACAGGTGATCTGCCTCAAACTGCAAATTTGCCCTCCTAAGGAGACATTATATCATTTGACTTAGCAGGCCAATGCAGACATATTTCCCTATCAAATGTTGCTGAACTTGAGTACTTTTGGGATGTTTTTGCATTTAGACTGTTCATATCTGCAGCTGTTTGACTGTTCCCCTTTTCTTTTATCTTACCTGTTTGTTTTCCTTGCCTTCCACCCTCTTTCTTGTTCCTAATACCAGGACCCAGAGGAATACAAAATAGGACATTCTGTTGTAGATAGAGAACACGAGAGTAAGGGAGCTTGATTTTGGTGCCATCAGTGTCTTTGACAGACAGCCATGGCCTGCTCAGCGACAACGTAGTGTATTTCACAATTTGGTCAGGTTTTGAGAAGGACCTGTGGTTTGCTCTTTTCTTTGGCTGCGCCCTCTGTGTTTATCTTCCTCTCTCGCGCTCTGTTCGGCCTTGTCAGGAAGAGCGGGGAAGTGACAAGGCTATCAAAGGCATGGCGCTCATCTATTGATTGCTCCTGTCTGTCCCCCACCTTAAGCCATCAAAGGCTGTCACATATCAGTTGCTGCTTGATGCTGAAATGTCACAAGGGCTTTGTGGGAACTTTGTATCAGATGATAGGCATTTTTTTTTTTTTTTTTTTTTAAATAACCCTGCTTGATGGAAACTTTTTATCTTATTCTTCTTTATTATGGAGGTTACTCTGATTTATAGCAGCATGATATTTTCATGCATCCTCTGTGGTGTATTACAACTTCTGTCACAGTGTTTATTTTTTTATATACTATTAAAGCATCCGGAGTTGTGAATTGAACAAAAACAGGTCTGACACAGACATGCTTTCACATTATAAACACAAAGCTGGTACATTTTGATCTCTAAACAACAGATCAGAGCCTTAGATTTGTAGATGTAATGCCAAAAAACCCAAACATTCAAAATTGAGTGAATTAAATTTGACAATCATCTCATAATAATGTTTTTGTTCTGTGCAGGGTGTGGACAGGGTGCGAGCATACATCCCAGATGCTGCGTGGTACGACTATGAAACGGTAAGACTGTTAGGCTCCCTTTAAAAGAGTGAAAAGGAACATCAACTTCCTTTTACATTATGCCACACAAATGTAGAATATCAATATATAATATAAAGTTGAAATGAGAACATTTGCATCTGGTAAAATTGTGTTTCACATGAAGGTTAATTGCAGACACAATACATTCTTCAATATTTTAGATTAACCTCCAAATGCTTATTGTTCTCCCAATTAAGTAAACATCATACAAGTATAATCTTTTATACTGTATGGAGGCCATACAATATATTCTAGTTGACAATCTAAGAATGCTTGCTTTATCTTTTTATTAGACAGAACAGTGTGGGTGTTTCTTTTCCTCAGCCTATTAACATTTGTGAGGGAGCCAGATTATGTATAAACAACAGCATGTCTTAATGTTATGTAATCTAATTCGCAAACACAAGGCATGAAACAAAATGTACAGTTGATTCAACATCTCTGACACAGTCTTCAGAAACTATATACGTCCAAAGCCAAATGCATTGAAATCAAGAAAATGGGGCGATAAATAAGCAAAACAGGATTAATTGCGGCGTTACTGCATTTGAATACATTGATTGTACAGGTATACATAATTGATTTGCAGCATCAATGCCCACTGTTCAACCAGAAATGTCGCAAACAGGCTTAAAAGTGTTATGTTACATCAGGGGAATTAACAAACACACACACACACATACACACACAAGCACACGCGTACAAAGGATCACATGTATCACATGAAAGTCTTTGCCTGGAGTTCTTTGTTTGAGACTCAGAGACGGGAGAGATAAGAAAGAGCGAGAGTGAGGACAAAGATAGAGTGGAAGAGGAGCCAGAGAAGAGAGGAGAGAGACTATCTCCCTGACAGAGAGATAAAAGAGGTGTTGAGCTCCTTTGGGACCTTATTTGGGCGTCACAGTGGTGATGTAAAGTGCCCACTGATCAGATGAACGATTAGATTGGCTGTCTTGCTGCCGGCCCCTTGTCCTGGTTGGTCCCCAGTGACTTTCTGGGTAGGAGGATTGGAAGGATGGTGGGGTGTATTGATGTTGTGAAAACGACCATGAAAAACAGGTTACAGAGGGAGGAAGTTATGGAGAACGGTGGGATGAAAGAGCAAAAAAAAAAAAAGGGAAATGAAGGAGGAGAAAGTGGGGAAGGACAGTCCATGACATATAGAGAGAAGATGAGAAAAAAAAAAAAAGGGGGTGGCATGTACTGTATGTGGAGGAGTGGGTAGATGAGAGGATTGGCCAACTGGAATCATGAGAAGAAGAGAAGACAAGGCTGTAGAAGATGTCCTTAAGGCAGACAATGAGGGCGTGATAAGATCTGAAATTGCTTGTAGACGCTCCATTAACTCTAGCCCACACACTCGCCCATACTCTGCTGTACTATATAAAAATGGTATATGCACACCCAGTCTAACATACATACATACACACACACATCACCTACATGGGTGGGGATAAAGATGGGATAAAAAATAATAATTAGAGCACCACAAGAGAGAAAAAACAGGACGGAGAGAAGGAAGTAGGTAGAAGGAGAATGAGAGAAGATGAAGGGAGAGACTGTGAAATTGTTTCAGGCTGGTCTGAGGAGTCTGTCCTCAGGGGGTCTGAAATTAACTGTGCTCTATCAGGGCCCTAAGAGAAATGAGTGATGGAGCGGGGACAGAGAGAGAAAGAGAGAAAGAGAGGGATGTGTGTGTTTGGCTTTCTCATCTTGAATAAGTGCTGCTTTGCAAAACAGCACAGTCAGAGGTCTTATTGTAAACTTGTCAAAAACAACACTTTTGTCATTCTCCTCGAGTGAATGAGTCACTGCATTCTCAACACTTTAGTCAAAGCATTTCAATGAATTTGTAAAAATGTGTTACGCTACATCAATCCACATGACAGATATAAAAAATAGAAAAAACGATTTCAATCATCTCTTTACCCAAATCACAAAACATGACTTCTCCCTCATCTCTTGTAACTTTGCTTTGGTCATATTTGAATTATCTAATAAACCTTTGTAACATTTCTGCTGCAAACCTCAATACAGTATAGGTAAATTGTGTTTCATTAGGGAGTGTACAGCTTAAAAATGACAGTCAAAAAAATCCAAGCTCATAGTGTGTCTAACTTACTCTATCCACAAACTTTGTATAATCGGGTTTTTTTCCCTAAAGTACTTCCAACCTAAAGGTATAATATGAAGACATTTTACACCAACATATCTTATTTAATTAAAAGTTGACTTAACCTATTCTTTGTTGTTGTTGAGTACTTACATTAGCTCAAATATTTCTAACAGTTATCAAAACCAGAATAGTCCGTCATTTTATAGTTGTAATGGTCTTTTCGTGGCGCCCGCCATGACAGAGCCTCCGTGAGAGACACGGTATGTTTATTGTTGCCAAGGAAACACCGGATGTTATGTCAAAGACTGCTATATCAGGAAACAGGAACTGCTAATAATAGCTGCCAATCAGTTGCTGTATGTGCGGCTGTTATAAAAAAAAAAAAATTCATGGATATAATACTTTGACACATCGTCGGTAAACATATTCTCCTCCACAGGTCTGTTTCACCCGGTCGTCTTGACTACGGTCAACTCAAGTTAGTTTTTGGAAAAAATGTAGAAGTGAGTGCTGCACTGGGTCAAACAAATGTAGAGGAATCAGGTGCTCTTCAAGAACAGGGGACACAAGTCAAATAGCTAATAAAGAAGTTGAACCCATTATGATTATGTCCTGACGAAGACTCAGTAGAGTCGAAACACGTAGACACTTCCCTGTTTAATAAAGGATTTTTACATGACATCAGAGTGCCTCGGACTTTCAGTTTAGACCTTTTCCACTCTTCTAACTTTGTCATCAGGACAGTCAACTGTTTTATTAGCTGCTCAAGTTCGTCTTCATTGGGAGTAGCAGGAATCACTCCCATGATTCCCCCCTAGCCTTCGACCTTATCTTTTGTTACTGTTTTGATTGACAGCCCCCTGGCGGTAAAATGTACATACTGTTTAATATAAGAAAAGTGCTGGAGTACCATAGATGCCACTTGTAAATGTAAAGTCAACCAAAAATCATAGTTCTAGTCCCCTTGTTCTTGTGTTAGCAGAGAAAGCAGCTTTGAAAAGACATGATGTACTAGTTTGAATAAAGACCCTGACTTATATCTGAGTCGTTAACAACAACAACAGTGAACACACTGTCTTCTTAAACTGAGGGGGCCTCAAAAAAGTCCTCCTTCTTTTAAAAACTGCAATTTCATGCAAGCACATGCAACTACTAATATTTTCCACTCCAGGCATGTGCAAAGTTATCCACTCTGTCCTTATATTGGATTAGGTGACAAGGGGATTGTGTTGTGTTAAAAATAATAGATTCTGTTGTCCTACCAATCAGATGGAACGGGTGGAACACCGCAAAACACAAGTTGATATGTATCTGCCCGCTGACAAGCTAGGCCTGCACATCAGAGGAGGTGCAATCCTCCCAACACAAACACCTGATGTCACCACCACCTACAGGTACACACACACACACACAAACAAGTCAATATAGGCTTAAATAATGAGAATAATGCAGTAATTAAATGTGATCTACATTCATATTATCATGCAAACACTCACAGAGGTAGATCTAAGGATCAGCGCATTTTCACTTTTCTAAGCATAAATATATCCTTTTATGTTGGACTCTTCTTCACACATGTATTTATTACCTTCTTGATGCATTGAATAGTGATTACATGTGCATATGGTGTTTATGCTTTTGCTTGTTTTTATGTGTATGTCTGTATAGTCGCCTTAAACCCATGGGTTTGATCGTTGCTCTTGATGACAAAAACCAGGCGGCTGGGGAGCTATTCTGGGATGATGGAGATTCCAGAGGTAATGTGTGTGCGAACATATCGGTGTGTGTGTGTGTGTGTGTGTGTGTGTGTGTGTGTGTGTGTGTGTGTGTGTGTGTGTGTGTGTGTGTGTGTGTGTGTGTGTGTGTGTGTGTGTGTGTGTGAGAGAGAGAGCGAGAGAAAGAAGCTTCTTTATGTTGTTATTACTGTCATCACAGGCTTTTTAATGAGTATTGCATTGCAGAACTGTTGTTCACACTGTCTAACTAATGACGGTCACATTTTGCTCTTTTTTTCTTTTCACAGACACAGTTAAAACCGGCAACCACATCCACTACCAGTTCTCTGTTGTTTATGTAAGTTTCCCTGCACGAATGCACGCCATCTTTTTAAACAAAGCCAACATATTTCTTCAGATCCAAACTCAAGTTTATAGTTCAAAACCACCAGAGGCTTTAGACTTCCCCCAGTTCAGAACACCGAGCATGATTGATCCATGGTGCACTGTGGAAGCTTTGTTAAGATCAAGTACTGCATGTTCCACAGCACTCAGGATTGCCTTGCATGTAAGAATGCTGATGATGTTTATTTTTTCTGTATGCTAGCATTGCAGTGGAGTGACAGGAAATCAATTGGAACAGCTGTTTGACTCATGGACTAGAGCTTTGGGAGTTGATAAGCTAGTTGCTTTAGCAGTATATCTGATAGAAGCAAGTGATTGAAGCTGTGACTGTTGTGCATTGCTATGGACTTCATCGCTCTGATGTTTTAACATGTCAATATGTCGCTCCTTATAAGAATGTGTGGTTTCTTAAGGTTCAATTAAGCATATTAATTCTGTGTTCTCTACAGGGGGTACTGACAATGCAGGTGACACACGCTGGCTACAGAGACCCAGCCAACATTATGTTCACCAACATCACCATCCTCGGTGTGTCTGATCCACCCACATCCGTCTCTGTGACTCATGTTGGCACTGGATCGCATGAAGACTCTACCACTGCAGTGCCAAAGAACAACACCCAGTATGATGTAACCAAGAAGGTAGTCACACATATTTATAACTATTTGCATTCAAAAGAAAAAAGTACAGCAATCATTCATTACTTAATGTGAAGGGAAGTAATATAGGAAAAGAAAGAGTTGCTTCACTCACAAAATAGGTAGACCAACTTCTTAAACTTAATAAGATTTTCTTGGGCGAACAACTTTAATGAGGATGATTTGTGACACTAGCACTGGATTAGAACACAGGGGAAAGTAAAACTGTGCTTGTCCCGATAAAACTACAATCATGTGGTCCTGCTGTTCCCCTCAGCCGTGGACAACTTTAACAGGTCATAACTCTGGTGTTACGATTCAATCTCAGTTTTTCATAATCAAGTGTCCGGCAGCAGCAGACATTAAAAAAAAAAAAAAAAAAGATTCTGATTAACCCCCTCCACCCAGCATGGAAAAGCAAGGAGACAAAGTTAGTTACATGCCAATGAAGTTAAAGCATTTAGCATCTGGGCACTCAAATATTTCCCACTGAACATATAAAGAACCAGAACATAGCTTGAAAATTGATCTCACATTCATCACATGGCATGAAGCACAGTTGGGGAAAAATGTTGCTCTGCTTTATTTGTATAAAGGAACTATATGCCAACCCAAGTTAAAACTGTCTATAATTTTTTTGTAATTTGGATTTTAATCTGCATTTGTGGAATTTAAATGGTAAGAATGCTGAATAGCAAAATAGAAATGAGCAATTGTTAAAGGGTTGGTAGTTCACTAATACAAGATAAACACAGCAAAGTCGTCATTTGTGTAAAACACGTTGACTTCAGGCAATGCCACTCTGTCAGGACAACCTTCCTGCACAGACGCTGCACAGACGCAGGACAGATGCAGGACAGATGCAGGACAGATGCAGGCTGGGTGACAACACTCCTGCTTAGTCACGTAGGCGTCTGCCATTTGTTTCAATAAGACCAAAACGTGAAACCATTACTGTACATTTCAAGGTTAGCTTCTAAGTGTAAGAAATGATAACAATGTACATTAGCCGAGAACGGTGAGAGCTCTGTGTGAGTGTGTAGGTGTGTGCGTGTGGACAGACAAAAAAAAAAAGAATGAGAAAGGATGGCTTAGAGAAACTATTCCACACAAGGTGCCCAGGGTTATGAGCAAAGAGGCAAGAGTCTATAAAGTGTCAAGAGGTTTAGTTAAGTAGTACTTGAAAGATTTGCTTTGGGTGCACATGTGTTCCAGTGTGTGTGTGTGTGTGGTTATATGCCTGTGTGGATTCTCAAGGTCTCACTGGTCACACACACACACACACACACACAAAAGCATGCATCTATCAAATCAGTCTCAGAGGTAATCATTTCCTGGGGGTGAAGGGTAAATGTGCTGTTAAACCTAAACACTGGCTTGTCATGTCCATCAGTCTTTGTAAGCCTTGTCGGCCCGGGCCTTGAATGTAGTTCACAGACGCCAAACATCATTAGTTCTGTATAGAACACGATCGGCTACCCGTATATTATTCAATTTATTTTGCCTTGATTTCGTTGTGCTTTTTATTCTGACCTCATTTTCCTCCTCCTCTTCCCTTCAAAGTCTGTAAATATACCGTTGCCCATTCCATTTACAGCATTTCCTTCTTTTATCTGAATATCCAAAACTGTGTGTTGTGCAAGATGTTTTGTTTTTTTCCCACAACAGAATTACTGAAGTAAAAAAGAAAAAAAAAAAAGATAAGACAAGGAAAAAAAAAAAAAACACTGACAAAAATCTCAGGAGCCTCCTCGGCAGCAGCTGAGGATGGTTCAGATGGTGACTGTAGTGTCTAGAGTGAAAGGGGCTCCCCGAGATTTGTTGTGAGAATGAGTCATAATTCCCAACAGAGCTCGGCTGTTGAAACAGCGAGGGAAATTAACAGCTGTGTCTTAATTGATAGCACACGCAACGCCAAGCACAAGCCCCTTTTCAAGGAAGTGTGTCTGAGCTTGGTTGCATAAAAAGGCTGCTCACTCAGAGGCAACTTGGGGGAGAAATGTTCTCACATTGGCATCTTTGGATTTACTTATTTTTACTTTCCCCCATCTTTCCACACACACACGCACGCACGCACAGGTGTTATCCCTGCGTGGCCTCAATCTAATACTGGGGGAGTCCTATCTGGTGCGATGGGAACTGGTGGCGGAGGAGTATCAGCGCTTCGATTGCCATCCAGAGGAGAATGCTGATGAGGCTAAGTGCAAGGCCAGAGGGTGCACCTGGAAGGTGAGTTTCATATGCACATGCATGCAGTATCTCTACATTCTATCATTCAACGACATTGGTAAAATGTAGCTTTTCCCTCGCTCCCCACTCAGCAAAGTGCCCTTCAAAATGTTCCATGGTGCTTCTATCCAAATGACCATGGATACAGCATTACAACGTCCAAAGAAACTGACTCGGGAATTACGGTCGATATCGCCCAGAACAACAAGTACAGAAGCAGTTACCCGGACTCCCCAGACATCGACACACTCCGAGTTGACATCCGTTACCACAGCGGTCACATGTTGCAGTTCAAGGTGTGTTGTTGTTGGTTTGTGCACGTTAGTGTCTTTCTTCAGATTGTTTTTTTTTTTTTTTTCCTGTAAACATATGAAGAAAGTCACACACTTACATCTCCTCCCTTTCCAGATTTGGGACCCAGCCACGGATCGCTATGAGGTTCCAGTGCCGCTTTCAGTTCCTCCAGAACCTGAGACCGACGAGACCAAGAGGCTGTATGAGGTCCGTGTTATCAACAACCCATTCGGCATCGAAGTCATTAGGAAAAGCACAGGAACTAAAATGTGAGTACTTGTATGAGTGGTTTTGGTTGACTTGTCGTGTTTATGCATTCTTTTTATTCAGTTTAATGAGTTTGGGGGTCATTAATGCTGTTTTCAGTTAGTTCAGACAGTTTTCATCTGTCTTTTAGTAAACTTTCCTTCCTCTAGGACGCATTGACTTTCAACAGGACAATACTTTATCTATTGGAAACGTGGATCATTCTGATTTTAACAAAGAAAAAACAATGAATTTATCAGATTCTTTATAAGAATGATAGCTCTCAAAATATATCACATCTATTGAGCACAAGTCATACGTAATCATACAAAGCCGATTTTTTCAAATGAGGTTAAAGGACTGTTGGAACACGTTCTAGAAATTAATTGAATTTTTGAATGAGACTATTTATAGTCTTATGGACCATTTGATTCAAAATTCCCTTCAGGTTCTGGAAAAATAAAATAACTGGAGCCAATCATTCTGAACCCTTTAATGGGAAGTTTCAGCTTCTGCACTCTGGCTGTTGGTTTGTTGCTCCTAAGGGGAGAACAAAACTCTACAGGAACACTTTCGTACCTGCAGCTGTAGCACTACTTAATAAAGATAGCACAGGATGATGCACTTTAACTGTGCCAGATTATTTTAGACCTTTGAGTTGGTTGTCTCTAAGGACTGTGCCATGACCTGATGTAATCTACGATGCTTGTTTTAATGTATTGTGTCTGGTCTTTTTCACCTTGAATTTGTATTGTTATGCCTTTTACAGTATGTATGAATTGGAAAACTGAATCTCCTGTCTGCACAACCAATTTACCTTTCTAGATCCCAATACAGAAACCTTGAACCCTTTAACCTTGAATTGCAGATAACTAAAACTAATATATTAATTTAAACAAAATGAATATTAAGGCTTTTCAAAAGTCCAAAATGAGGTACGAGAAATCACTGGGAGGTAAGACACGTATCACAGCAGCAGTTTGAAGAAATGAACTGACAACAAGAGGTAAAGGGAGACTGGAACTAAATAGACACAGGTGAGCCTAACGACACAGGTGAGACTAACGACACAGGTGAGACTAACGACACAGGTGAAGACAATCAGGGCATTCAAAAGGGAGGGAAACCAGACAAAGGGAGGAAGTAAGACCAGAAAGGAAAAACTAGGGACATGAACTACAAAATAAAACAGGAAACACTAAAGACACACAAAGAACTCAAGAATGTGACAGTACCAATACACAAATGGACAGGAAGATAAGAAATGACAAAATAAAACAGGAAACACTAAAGACTAAACCTGGAAACAAAGCAATGCAAAATATTCACATGGGTAAACAAGCGACAGGAAGGGAGAAAGATACAAAATCAAACAGGAAATTAAAACTAAACATTGAAATAAACAAAATAGATTAGAACAAATCATGACAATTCCTTAAGGTAATCATATTAAAACACAGAATTTAATTCAATTTTGATGTGGACATCTTTGTATTAGTTTATTGTTTGTACTGTTGCCTCCTTTTGCCTGATAAAGTACATTTAAACAACACATCGATTCTTCTGGTTAAATAAAGGTCGAAAAAATCACATGATAAAGTTTCCTATGTCTATTCCATGCGAAGAAATGTTTTCCCATAAGCACAACGCTAACCTGTCTTATTGTCCCTTTAATTGTCCCCTGAAGGGCAGAGACTTAAAGTGTATTTTGGGCAATATACTGTAGATGCTCCCATTATCAAGCAATAACATTAGACCTGGGGTAAACATTCTATTTAACTATTACCATGCAAGATAGTGTTTTCATCTTCATGTGAGATTAAATAAACAATGCTGAGTCAACTCCTCTGGCACTGTTACCCATTCAGATATGCTCAGAAAAGTCGGCCCATGTATCAGCGCCTAAAGTAGCTTCCTCTTGTTCAGCAGTCACGATGATGTCACACGAAGCAGCCGAGCATCTGAGTCCTTTCAAAGCATATCTTCAAGCCAGGCTGACATTATTTTGTCGTTAAGCTTTCCGTGTTTTTTTATTTATTTATTTTTTAGAAGTGTCAGTTGAAATGTTGCTAATTAAAATGTATGAAGTATATTGAAGGGATGCCTGCAGTTCCTACTGGTTATTATGCTTATTTGTGTCAAACGTGTTGTGAATAACCTTCTCTGACAATAATTCCCTTCACCCCCACCGTTCTCTCCTCATCTCTCACTGATTTAATCCTCCGTCGCTTTCCACAGTTGGGACTCGTCTGTGCCAGGTTTCACATTCTCAGACATGTTCATCCAAGTGTCAACTCGACTGTCATCTGAGTTTATCTATGGCTTTGGAGAGACAGAGCATCCCACCTACAAACACGACCTGAACTATCACACCTGGGGCATGTTCTCCAAGGACCAGCCTCCTGGTGTAAGTATCGCACTTAAGCACACACTGAGACTTCACACACAGTCATCATACACACACACAAACATGAGCACGGCACATCTAAATTACCTGTTACTTCACACTGTTGACGCAAAGATTACCGGCATCTCAATCTGTTTGAAAAGATGTTTGACTGGTAAGGATTTCAATAGATGAAACTTGACTTTGAGCTAAATTATTGTTTACAGCATAGCTTCCTTTGAAAGCATTGGCATGTTCCATCAAACCCAATTTTGAGCTTGTTACGGCATATGAAGCAGAGCACCCTGCAGTGGATGAATGTCAGACCCTCCAGAGACTGCAGAGGTGACTTGTAAACAACCTCGCTTGCTCAGTATGGAAACTTGTCTTTCTCACATCGGTGTCACTTTGATGTGTTGCTCTTGATGTGAGCAGCGGTTATGGAGTGTCATCATGTTTTCCCTGCTGGTGTCAAGGCCAGACAGGATGATGTTTCCACCTGCATCAGCATTATTGAGCCTAATTGCTGAGCTGTCAAGACGGCTCCACAGGGTTCAGACAAGTGTTATGGGGCCCCCTCGGAGAGCAAAGGAATTAGAGCGAGGGTGAAATATAGGGAAAAGTGGAGGAAAATTAGTAAAAAAAAAAAATACAGAGCAGGTGGCTCATAGGGGAGGATGACATAGACACCGCTTTTTACAAAGTTTTTCATATAGTTCAGGACGTAAAATCATTTTGTAATTGGCTTTTTCTAAACTTCAACAAAGAAGAGCAGAAACTTGAAGTGACATTGTTCAAAGAGTAACGTCATCATATATATTTTAAGGTTTTGCATTTCTTGTAAAGTAACTTAAATCAAGTTTTAATCAATACCATTATATTAGTGTGTACCACATCAGCCTGCGCTCTGAGGCAGCTGAATGGTGTTGTATGTTCCACAAATTTAGGGATAATCAGCGTGTGCTAATGAGACTATTGGTAAAATAAATACTTGTTTTTTTTCCAGCTAGGCTAAGGTCATAGTTCAAACACCTCTGAACAGCTGTCCTCACTGAAGGCAGAGACTTGATTAATGAAGGCGCTGTCAGTTCTATCAATGACACCTCAAACTCAAGCCAAGACATGAATGGATGCCATCCATTGGAATGAAGGTCGATGGACTGCAGATGTAAACTAGCTATAAGCTAACTCTACAGTGCATCGAATGGCAACATGTATGTTTAATATTCTACATGGCCCCTTTACAATTAAAATTAAATAAATAAAAATAGCTGGAATGGCTTAAATGTTTCAGTGGAAGGAGGCTGACTTTGAGAGAGTTTTTTGGAAATGTGAATTTGACTAGTTGAAGTATGAATTGGGATTACATGTGTACACACAACTGCAGCGACATAAAAGAAAGCTATGGTTGGCTTTCAAAACCTTCATAGTTGAGGAAAATGTGACTTTGTTGTACGCAACGTAGGGGATATTTTTTGTCATGACGTGTAAGTTTGCATAAATGGGCTGCTATAGTCCATGTGCGTTTTCATCATGATTGTCTAAACAGAGCCTTAGAGAGAGACCTAGAGACCTGTCACTCTGTGTTTGTGGACGAGCCAGTGACCTTTCTTCTTCTCAAGTCAGGCCATAGCACCATGCATCCGGGCCACAAGGACATACGCACTCAGAAAGAAAGGCACGCATTCCAACATCCCAAGCGAGTCCTCAGAGCTATTGTATTATGGTTTAACCACTTCTCATGAACCAGAAGAGCAAGAGGCTGATGGAGTGTGACGTGCCCGTGAGTTTTCTTTACAGGACCTCGACATCTGAAAGTGGCAGGTCTCCTGTCCCCCGCCACCTTTCTATCTGTTCCTCGTAGCCCAGTCTGTCGGGTTCCATACTCGTCTAAACACTGAAGGACACGATGGGACCCTCACACTGCAGAAGAGCAATCATAAAGTGCACATGCTCAAGCTCCTCACAACAGGGCAATATATTGTTACAAAGGCAGAAGTGCTGATCCCCCCCCCCCACAGTTTGTGCTGCATGTGATCTGTGGATTGGTGGCAAGTTTTTCAACATGGTGTTCTCTACTGCAACTAAATCCCTTTGCAGAGTCCCAGCAAAACAAAGGCAGGGTTTGGATGGTGTGTGTAGGTCCCATGGAGATCTGCATTGATATTTCATTGTGTATGGTTACTTTGTATCAAATGCTGCTTAGATTGTTCTGGTTCTCATCTCACAGCAGTGTCTGTGTTTATCATTCAGGTATCAGCTGGTGGCTGTGTGTGAAAACAATCAGTGGAGTAGCTTCATGTTTATCATGCACCAGCCTGTTGAAGTCTGTAGCTGTAAATTAAGCCAAACAAAATCTGTTACAGAGTGCTGTGTTTGTCCAAAAACTGAAGATGTAGTTCCTAAAATGCACGGTCCCCTGAGTGTCTGACTTGCAGACCATGCTCTGCACAGGCACACATCTAAATGAACTATGTGAGTGTGTGTGTGTGTGTGTGTGTGTGTGTGTGTGTGTGTGTGTGTGTGTGTGTGTGTGTCTTTACATGTTTAAATATGTCTTCTTCTTCTTCTTCTTCTTCTTCTTGTAATTTTTCCAGCAATTTAGACGCTTTTCTAGGCGTATTACTGTACTTCACAGGTAGACGGGAACTAAGTCATTCTACAAAGCATAACTTTAGATTCTTAAAAACAATTTTGTAGCATGTAGAAAATTAATGACTGCTTTTGCAATCAAATGGTGGTTCTCATATTGGCCAAGCAATGTTTTACCTGAAAAAGAAGTTATCCCCACGTCAGACACGTGTCATTTTTACATTGTAATAATATGTGTATAACTGTTTCAGGACTTCCACATTATTTAAATATGTCAAGGCTCATGCGACAAAAATATATTTAAAGGTTTCTGTCGATTACAGCAAACCTATTATTTACAGAAAGATTTCTGTTTTGTTTGTTGAGTCATTGTCCATGATGTGGTGTATCAAACACTGTTATGGACATGGTGCAGTTTAATATTACAGATTGTTGTTCTTTGATAAAAAGGGAGTTTGGGTTTATCTAACTGCTTGTATAACTTTTATTGAAATTGAAGCAATGTATGGAATACAAGGGGGAAAAAATGAGGGTGCACTCTATCATTAAGACAAAAAGAGATACATTTTGCATTGTAGTGCTGTTAAAATGCATTTTGAGTAGAAAAGTTATATTATAAATATATTACATTTTTCTGTCAGATACAATCCAAAAATCTGTGACAAAAATCTGAACCGTAAACTGATCCGTTTCACCAATAACAGAAAGTGTTACCGAACTACAAATCTATGTGTGCGTGCAAAACACAAATCCAAGCAGTTAAAAACTTGCATCTCTATCAGACAGGTGTTTATTAACTTTGATAAATTGTCAAAAAAAATAGGATTCCGAAATTCGAGGGAATTTATATTATATATATATAATTCAGTTTATATTTCTACAATTCTACAATTCACTTAGCAGACGCTTTTATCCAAAGCGACGTACATCAGAGAGTAAGTACAACACTAATCCATTCATACACCGCCACCGAAGCAGCAGGAGCAATGCGGTGCAGAGCACAACAAAGCAGAGCTGCCGTTTATTTTAATGCTCTGCTGCAACATTCAGAACATTCTGATTATATTTTAGTATCCAGAAGCAACTTATATCCCAAAATAACGTCCCACGTTTGAGGTCTTCAAACCAAAGCTGGGACATTTTTTTGTTATTTGTAAGGATGCTTTGTAACTAAAATATGAAGTAGATTTTTTTTTTTTTTTAGTCAGTGCACATCCATTTGCATAGAGGATGGTTGCAGGAAAAACTTTTCCTGTTTTTGGAGAACTTTTGTGTTATGTTGAGAGCGTTGGGAGCAAGCGCAGTGTAGCTGTGTTGTTGTCATACTCGAAAACCCCAATGAGAAATGCCTTTTCAGGTGTAAAGAAAATCCTCATGAATTAACAAATTGGCGCATAAACAAACACAACAAATCTCAGAACAAACCTGTCATTTAACCAACAGTCACTGCTCCTCTTTCATTGCTGCTCCCTGTCTCTCTGCTACAGTACAAGATGAATTGCTATGGAGTGCATCCCTTCTATATGGGCCTTGAGAACAGTACTGATGCTCACGGTGTGCTGCTCCTCAACAGCAATGCAATGGGTAAGAGAGACACACGCTCAGCCAACCAAAGCATGAAGGCACCCACATCATGCTGAGACATAAACATGGATTGCCAGTTGATGCACATACCCCATATTATGCAAATGAAACCAACAATCCTCACACACAAACAAACACACACATAAACAGAATGTTCTTATTTATTAATGAACAGGGCCATTTTTGCATGTTTCCAGCACATGTCCTTTGATAGGGAGTCTTATATAAGGTCAACACATTGCAACAAGAACACTCTGCTCATCTTCATGTTGTTGTGTTTGCATAATGAACATCAATAGAAACTGTGTACACATCTATAAACATACTGGTATATTCTCTTTTTTCATGAGCAGAAATACTAATGCTGTGCCAGTATCCCTCAAAAAGCTATTTCACTACCAGATGAACAATAAAGTGTCAGAAGTGCTTTGGTCATATTTTTCTGGGGGTTTTTTTATAAAAAAAATGTTTTTGTATTGACTGCCACCAGATAAATAGAGCTCGTATTAAATATGTGATGTTTGAGCCCATGTTTCCCTCCCTCCCAGTACACATACACACACCACCTACATATAAACCACTGAGTGACATAAACATCATATTTTCTGTGTGTCCAGATGTGACTTTCCAGCCTACTCCAGCCTTAACATACAGGACTCTGGGAGGCATCCTGGATTTCTACATGGTCCTCGGACCCACGCCTGAGGTTGTGGTGCAACAGTACACTGCGGTAAGTTTCCTCGGACTTTTGATCTGTTTGTGTGTGCAACTGCATGCATTCGTGTGTGTTTTGTGTCTGGCCCTGGGCCGCTGTTGATGGACTGCAGCAGCTGGGAGTTCCTCGCTTCATTGCGCTCTCTCATTTAGCCTATCTAAACACACACACACACACACACACACACACACACACACACACACACACACACACACACACACACACAATCAAACAAACACTTTATGGACGCTGTCCCGTTTTCTGGCAGAACAACTTTTTTCTGTGCTGAACTGTTTTGACTTCCTTGTTTGTTTTTCTTCTTAACAGCTGATTGGACGACCTGTTTTGCCTGCCTATTGGTCCCTTGGGTTCCAGCTTTGTCGCTATGGTTACGCCAATGACGAAGAGATTAAAAATCTATACACCGATATGGTGTCAGCGGGTATACCCTATGTAAGTTCCCAGACTTTTTTTTAAATGTCAGGACTCAAGATGAATAATTTTTTACTTTTTATTTACTGTTACACCTTAAGTTTTCCCATTTCAATTAAAGATCTATGACACATTTCATGACATCACATATTCAAATCTCAACTGTCAAATAACTCTCTGGAACAAATAGATCCATTTGTAATTTCCGTTGAAATTATCATTTTGTGAAAACAGTTTGTCAAAATTCACAGATGTGACAACATAACACACATTACTGGAATCAATGTTGGTACTGCTTACACATCCAATGTTTTCTTCATGTATTTATTACTATTTTGCTTTAATTAGTTTGAACAAATATCTGAAAGCTCTTCGTCAATGGCGGGGAAAGAGTTAATGTTCTTTTGATGCACTCAGTGGAATGGACTTTGCTTTTTCCAGTATCTGCCCATATTCATAATAATGTGATTTGTTGTATGCGGACAGTAACTGCATGAATCAAAATCAAATAAAGGAAGTTACTGGGATGAAGCAAAACGGAGACATGACTTCAAGGATTACACTGGATACATCCACTTAAACCAGATGCAATGTGACCTATAATTCCATTTTAGATCCATTCCATTGTTTTGCAGCCTCTAGACATTTCCAGTTGTACAAAACAATACAGCTCTCTGACAGGGACATCTGAGCTTCATGTTGAGTCAAAGCTCGAGACAAAGTTAAATATCTGACCATGGCACTATGCTTCATGTGGAAACAGAGTCTCCACAAAGCATCATGCAGCAAAGAACATAAGAATTTCAAACAATAATCAAATGAATGGCGTTTACAAAACCCATAACTGCAAGGAGCTGATGCCAGCCAAAAGGTTTCCTGTATTACTGACACAAATGAAATCGACTTACCAAGGCTACAAATCAGCTAGCTTCACAAGCTAACACATAGGAGGGATAGCACAAATAGAGGACCTATACAAGTATATATTTCTGTTTCATTAAGCCTACTTAAACATGTGGGTTAAATTATGTTTGCTTCTGGTCTTGTAATTTAAAAAAAAGTCTTAATTAAGGATTTAACATCTCTGCTGTAGGATGTGCAGTATGCAGACATTGACTACTTGGACCGCCAGCTTGACTTTGTCCTGGACCCAGAGTTTGAAGGACTTCCTGACCTGGTTAACACCATGAGGAATGAAGGCATGAGGTTCATCTTCATTCTGGTAATGCTACTTTAACATAAACTATTCATACTGACGTGATTTGGTACTCCATGGCCAAAAACCAACGCAAGCAAAATATGACACAGACAGAATGTTATATCACGGCCACATTTTACTACTATACATGTAGTAGACGATAATAGCAGAGGATGTTGTTGAATATTCCAGGATCCAGCCATCTCGGGCAATGAGACATATTACCCTGCCTTTGAGAGAGGTCAAGCTGCGGATGTCTTCATCAAATGGCCCAAAGGGCTCAGTGATGACATTGTGTGGGGGAAGGTAAGAGGGCATAAATATCGGGGAATGGTGTAAAAATACATTTAAAGAAATTGACGAAATTGAATTGACTCAAAATAAGAAGGCAAAATATCACTTTTGCTGGTATGATCCTTTCTATGTTTTTGCAGGTCTGGCCAGATTTTCCCAATATCACAGTGGATGAATCTCTGGACTGGGATAGCCAAGTAGAGGTAAAATCATTTCCGTAATAACCATATACCATTACATATCAGAAAGTATTCCCAATTACAACTGTGCACAGACAGAATCTGCATTGACTAACATGTCATCATTAAAGAAGAGAAGAGACGAGAATACCTTTATTTGTGGCATCTTTTGGTCTTGTTAAGGTTGTTGACTTTTCTTTTCTTTTTTTTTTTTTACCTTCACATCCCTAGAAATACAGGGCATACACCGCATTCCCCGACTTCTTCCGCAATACAACAGCAGAGTGGTGGCACAGAGAGATCAATGATTTCTATCATAATGTCACAAAATTTGATGGCCTCTGGATTGTGAGTGAACCAAATGCAAATGATTCCATAAAGGTGAACTTTTTTTCCTCGTTGCCAGGCTTACATCACCTATTCTTTGTCTTTGTCTGTAGGACATGAATGAGCCTGCCAGTTTTGTCCATGGCACAGTGGGAGAGAAGTGCCTTGGCAATCAACTCCTGGAGTTCCCTCCGTATATGCCACGTAAGACACAATCACACCATTCCTCTTGTTTGTCCTCCTCATTGTATTATAAAGCAACAGTAGGAGTGTGCTTTAAAATGATTCATTGTGACTGTTTATTGTGCTTTTGTCCAAAAGCCCTGGAGTCTAAACATCTTGGCTTAAAGCATAAGACTCTGTGCATGAACAGCGAGCAGATTCTCAGTGATGGAAAGAGAGTCAGACACTATGATGTCCACAACCTCTACGGCTGGTCACACGCCAAGCCCACATATGAGTAAGTGATTATGTATGTTGTTTATGCTGTCCTGCTTTACATTTTTGAAAAAGTCTAGGCTTTAGATACTGGAATTTTATACTCAAAGAAATAATTATATCACCATCAAAAGGGCAGGTATTCCCTTTATTTTAACATGCACAAATAGAAACAAAATTCATACCAACACAGATGTAGAGGTTTTTGGTGTAAAAAAAAAAAAAAAAAAAAAAGACATTGAGTAAGAGCTGTAATCAGGCAGATGTGCATGATCCTAAAGAAATGAGTTTGTCCAAATTTAGTCTGGTTCAGGAGGCAATACAAAAACTAATTAGCATGATAATCGCAGCCCTACATTTTCAGAACACAGTCAAATTAGATGTTGGTGAAGAGGAAAGAGAACAGGAAGTGCAGGAACTATTATTGCAAATGCATTTGGGGAGTAAAATACAGCTACAGGGAATACAGAACAGATACATTTCAGCTATCCACAGAAATACAGCCTCATCAAAACTATAAATAAATAATCACCAATGTTGGAGTACATTGGTCCTTGCGGGGGAATTTTCCACTCACCGCAGGGAGGACAGACTGCAGAGTTGAGCTAACAGAAAAGCCTGTGAACGCTTAGCACCTTTGGGCCTTGTGCCTAGGTGCTTTGTCTTAGGAATTGTTTCATTTTAGCACCGGGCTGAATTTAACAATCCCAATTGATCAGCTTGTCCACTTCTATATTGAATGCACTTAATTTAAGGGAGGGGATATACTTTTTACATTCTACTTGTTGCTAGTTTGGGTAAGCCTTTGTGTTGTTTCTGTATGCATCATAAATCCCTGATTCACTCTTGTGTGTGCAGCGCCGTGCTGGGTGTGACGGGTAAAAGAGGCATTGTGGTGACCAGGTCTACTTACCCCTCCAGCGGCAAATGGGCCGGACATTGGCTTGGAGACAACTATGCCGGCTGGGACCAGCTTTACAAATCCATTATAGGTAGATATACACACTTACTGCACAGATAAATATGAAATACAACTGGATTCTGATGTTTCATGATGGCAGTCTACACTGAGACCCGTAATCTCACACGATAAGGGTCATGCCAACCAAATGTCATTTAGAAAGGAATCTTTAATCTGGCATGACACCCAATCTCCCTTTTGTTCTGCAGGCATGATGGAGTTCAGTCTGTTTGGCATCCCTTACGTAAGTAACATCATCTGATCTCGGTTTTGACGACGCATAATCTTATTGATGTGACCTTGTCCTCGCTAAGTAGATTACAGCAGTCTGAGTGATGTTATTTTGTTTGTAAGACCCTTTGATCAAAGGACATCTTGAGATACAATGTGAGGCATGTCATTACAAGCCCCGACCCAACCAAGAGGCCCAGCAGAAGTGTATCGTGATCGAAAAGAGAATCTTATTAATTGAGTAGTTATTAATGTAACTTCCGAAGTGTCTTGGCTTGTTTGCCTCGACGTCTTTTTTATGTCATCTCATCCTCATTCACATACTGCCATGTTTCTTCTCCTCAGCCTGCTAATAAAACACCGTATTGATCCTTGTATTTTAAACCATTTCAATGCCCTGAGTGCAGCCACAGGGTCAGATAAGGATCCCTCACTCTTGCAGTGTCATGCTCAAGGACACTTCCGAAACTTGATCCTTGCTACAAAAGTAGTGTGACAGTATCCTAATTCCCAGCAAGATGTAATGAAGCCACCATTTTTCTATTCTGTTGGCTCTGTGTCTCACACACACTTTTTGCATATCGCTTTTTTTTTTCCAGACTGGGGCAGACATCTGTGGCTTCTTTAACCCAGCTGAGTATGAGATGTGTCTGCGCTGGATGCAGCTGGGTGCCTTCTATCCATATGCACGCAACCACAATGGCAAGGGTTTCCCGGTGAGTGGACTCAAAACTGAGAAAAAATAAAACACACACGGCTATGGACTGGTGGGTAAATCAACTTAAATTCCTTTTTTGCTCGTCGTTGTAGATATTTTTGTTTAATGCAGAGGGCAAACTCTGCTTCATGAAAAAAAATCCACAGTGTCTTTTGTTCATTCATGCGTACTGGATATTTCCAGGAAATCGCTTCAGGTGCACCCACAGGTCAAAGAACATTCTTGCTTCTGTCATTCCTCAGAACACAGAAGCGACATACAAAATTGGCTGCAAGCATCAGATTTCTGACTTCCTCAGAAGGTTCCAGTATAACCTCAGATCAAAAAAAAAGATAGAAATTATCTCCCCTTTTACTACCATACCATTTTAAAACTGGAATTGGTTAAAGAATAATAAACAAGAAAACAGAGGATCAAAGGAATTCACTTTATATAGGTGACATTGTGTTTTATTCTCCCTAAAAGATCAGACATCTAACCCTATAATCAAATATACCAAAGAATAGAATACATGATATTTAGAATAAAGAAAGTAAATGTTATTCAATATGAATGAACCATTTGATCCCATGAAGAGGAAGTATACAGTAAATTCTAAGAAATCTGTTGCATTTAAGCAAGAGAATGACTTCATTTAAAATCTGTACAATTGTTGCATCCAGAAATACATATTTGTATTTACATACAGAAATGGAGGAGACAATACTTTGACTTTTGAGGTTTGAGTATTGTTTCCTTGGGTCTTAAACACACAATATGTCAACTCTGCCGCCGGGGGGCTTTCAATAAAATAATCATAAAAGATGACGTCGAGGCTGGCGAGGAATCATGGGAGTGATTCTCTCTGCTACTCCAAACCCAAGTGGCAACCTCCAGTGTTTAAAAATGAAGCCACAGCGGTAATGCAAAATCCTGCAGTTTGTCGAGGGTCCGCTTGAGGCTGGCTCCAAGAGGCCCAGAAGTCACATACACACCCGTTTAAAAATGCCAGTTTTCACAGCAGAAATTAACACGTTTACAGCCTGGTGCAAAAACGATATTGGAATGATTAGTCCATGTCTCGACCAACACACTGTACAGGGGGTGATTTTTGTTTTTATAACGCATCTGTTTAGATTTTATGAACGATACATGTTTGACATAGTTAGGGGTGTGACTGACCTGATTGATAGGTAGGCGTGATGTAATGTTTACTGACTATTTAATGTATCCAGGTTTTATTTACACATCTTTATCACAGCAGCACATACAGCAACAGTACGGCAACGTTCAGTAGCAGTTCGTACTTGCTTATGTAGGGGTCTTTGACGTAACATCAAGCGTTTCCACAGCAACATTAAACATTTTGTGTCTGTCATGGCGGCCGTCACAACAAGACACGCCCCATTATGTAGATAAAATAATGGATTGCGTTTGATAACCTTTTAAATATTTAGTAATTGTAGTAATGTAATTACTCAACAAAAAAAATATAACATAGGTTTAGTCCATTTTTTATTAATCTAAATATCCTAGTGTAAAATTCTCATATAATTCTACATATTGTACTTTCAATTGACATCAAGCTTGGCCTGATTGAAGCTAAATAGATGCCCTATATTCCTTAATGTAGCATGTTCTGTGGCTACAAAGGAAACACATTTACTTAGTCCTAGTGTTTGAAGAAAAAAAAAATTCAGTAAGCTACCTTCTCTACCTGCCTCTCTCCGATCTGTGTCTGATATACACAAACACAAAAAGATAGACCTGTTAGCTGCTGTAGTGTTGGTGGCATTCATTCCAGCGGTGACCTTTTCCAGCATTGGAACACATCTGAGAAATCCAATAATGCCAGTCCGGAGATCGATCCCACCGGGCGAACCTTCGCTGCACTAGAGTCTGCAATACTAGACACGACACAAGTGTGTGTGTGTGTGTGTGTGTGTGTGTGTGTGTGTGTGTGTGTGTGTGTGTGTGTGTGTGTGTGTGTGTGTGTGTGTGTGTGTGTGTGTGTGTGTTTAAACGCATGGAGTGGGGATATAATTGAATTCTCAAGGTGATCTGGGCAGCAATGCACAGCACCTAACAACCGCCAACACACACACACACACACACAGACACAGACACACCATGATTCCAATAATTTAATAATGGCTTTCAAATGGGTGGTTAAACATTGGGGGGAATTGACAGAAAAAACACACACAGGGCGGGTGAGGGTGGTTCAGAATGACAGTTTGAGATGCAAAGGAAAAGTCGGGGATCTGAAAAGTCACCAGGATGGAAGGGGGAACTCGCAAGAGAAATGTGAAGATATTCATACAAAATAGAAGAGAAAGACGAGAGAAAGACCGACAAGAGAAATATTGAAAAGAAAATACAGTTCAAGGAGAGGAGTTCATTGGGGCGATTAAATGAAATAAAAAGGAAAGAATTATGATGCAGAAAATTGGTGGAGAATTAAACAAGATGCCCATTTAGCAAATCAAACACAAGTGACACAGTGATCATAAGTAAGTAAGAGCTGGGACAAGGCTAAATAACCAATTTACCAATGTTTGAAACACCTGTGTGCAAGTCAGGAAAGTAATGTGAGAGAGTTATGGAATACACAAGAAGTCTGAAGGATGGGAGAGAGGGGAATCAAGGTCAGCTATTTGTGTAGTCTACTGTAAAAACTGTGTTATTTTTCCAGTCGGCCATATGAAATTCCCCAATCATCTGACAGTTAGTGACTGTAAACTCCAGTCTGCTTAACAAGGCGTTTGACACTAAAGTATTAACACCCTGAACTAGAATGGAAGGTGCACAAGGTCAGAGACAGTGGAGAGAGAGAGAGAGAGAGAGAGAGAGAGAGAGAAAGAAAAGGGGAGAGTTTTTGCAGAGTCATTCCCAGAGCGCCGTCACGCCTAGTGTCTCTTTGCCCTCAGACAACTCTCTGTGTTGACCTTGAGACAATTTCACTGCCACAGCAATATACTGCAGTGTCTACATTAAAATCTGAACAGTGCAAAATTAATTAAACAAAAATATATTTCCTCCACCAAAAGCTGGTTCAGCAGAGTAGTCTTATTCACTTATATTGTTCCTCACTCAAAGGAGCATATTTTTCATCCAAACATATTTCCTGTTTTATGATATTAGCCCTGCAATGCAAAACAGAAGCTCAAAGGTTTATGAGATCGGGCGAGGGAGTAGATTTCAGAAGGATAAATGAAGAGAAAACCCGAGTAGAAGATGGAAAAGATGAGAAGGGCTGACACTGGCAGATAACCTCGTTTTTCCTGCAAGCCTGCGCGTGCGAGTGTGCATGCACATACATATCTGACTGCAATCAGTGAGTGTCACAAGGCCTTTTTTCGCCACCGTAAATGTGCCAATAAATTAGGCGGATTCACAAGATAGATTCTGTGTCTGCTTCTCAGTCTTCAGCGCTCCCCATTCGCACATCTTCATCAATCCCTCCTCCGGTTTTTCCGCTGATGAAAAGTCTACCTGGAGGGCCTGACAGACAGTGGTAGAACTGTCAAGTCATGCAAGATTTGTTGGAAGGAATGTTTAAAAGTATAGAGTTGGTTTTGGGGACATTATTCTGTTGGGAGTTTTACATTTTTACAAGATGCTACAAAATGCTTTAGTCAAAAGTTCCCATGATATAGCCAAGCTAAAAGATGTAAACCCTCCAGAATAAAAAAAAAAAAAAAGTGATAATGAGAGATTACATTGTTTTAAATTTCCAAGATGAAACAATTAGGGGAGAAGGCAGAATGGAAAATGGTAAATGGACTTGAGCTTGTATAGAGCTTTTCTAGTCTTCTGACCACTCAAAGCACTTTTACACTACAGGTCACACCTACCCATTCACATCCATTCACACACTGATGGTAGAGGTTGCTATTTGTGGCCATGCATACACATTTATACACAGCTGACGAGCAGCGGGAGCCACTTAGGGTTAAGTGTCTTGCCCAAAGGAACATGGGACTTATGGCTGAAGGAGCTGGAAATTGAACCCCCCACCTTCCAGCTGAAGAGACAACTGACTCTACCAACTGAGCCACAGCTGCCTAAAAGAAGAATGCTGATTATTTGAGTAGTTTTTAGATGTATGAAAAATGGCATTAACCATTTATAGCAGACAGGAAAAATTACATTTTCAGTTGTCGTCCAATGAAGGAGCAGTTGTGACTCAGATGCTAGAGACATTGTCTCTCAACTGGAAGGTTGGGGGTTTGATCCCCAGCTCCTGTTTCATTACAAAGAAGCCTCTACCATCAGTGTGAAGGTAGGTGTGACATGCAGTGTAAAAAGTGCTTTGTGCAGCATACGGCACACATTGACACAAATGATTGATGACATACCTTTTCCAAACATGTTTCAAATGAATCAGACTAGAAGTCAAGATAAATCTTGCTCAATGACTTAGCAGCAACACTTCACAAAACCAACACAAAATTGTGTCTGGACCTTTCTGATACTGGGTCCTTAACTGTGTGCCATCACCATTAAGTGTTTGTTCTTTAAATTAACTGTCCTTACTCTCAATGTGAGCGTAAAGCAGGCTCTTACTCACTCATTGAGATTCATTCGTTCACTCCCACTCTCTTTATATATCATACACTCCGATCAACTTTCACAACTTACCATGGTAATTACTTCCCGGTGAACACATCTGATTGTGAGCCGTGAAGGTGCGAAAGAAGGGGTAACTAAAAAAAAAAAAGGGAGGACGACAGAAGAACTCCTTGGTTTTCAGATAATTACAACTTGTACATTTCCTCAGAAAATTAAATGATAATCTGGTAAACTCCTGAGGTCATAAGATAATGGAAATGTTCGGTATTCAATCATGTGCTGTTAGGCCTGCACTTAGTAACCACTGGGCTACAGTTAATAACTATGATCAATTCTGACCCAGTTAAACTGAAGTGCAGCTGCAGCTGTGAAGAACATTTCTTTCATTGGTTTTTGTGACTGTTTCCATTAATTATATCTCGTGGTCTCTTTTAAAAAATTAACACAAAAAAAAGGAGGTTCATTGACTTGCAGTCCTGCAGAAGTTTACCCAAAACACAACCACATAAACACACAGTCATATGCAAATGCACTACACCCCGAAACACACACACACACACACTCAGCATCATAGGGAGGGGTATATGGTGATGACACGCTTCAAATGAAAATATTCATGATCCGCAGTGTCTATGTGGATGTTTGTGTGCGTGCACACGACCAGACTGATCGCTGTTTTCTCCACAGTTTCACAAAATGAGCTCATTCATTTAGATTGGCCCATATCTAGAGAATGACAGGACACCATGTCCTCTTTTTCTGCCCTTGTCCCTCAAAGGGATGTAACACTTTTTGCTAATTAAAATTAATGTCAGAACAGTGTGTGAAAGAGGAGTTTATGGCATCATCCATCAGTATAAATACAGCACACGGGCCATTTGAATACCTCTGGCATGCTACAATCTAGCTAGTGTTGCTGTCACTTTTTGTCTTCATGCCTGTCCTCAGTTTCAAAGTTATTCATTTTCAGCATGTTGTTGAAATCCAGATAGGAAAGAGTCAACAGCGCAGACACGCTGCCAAGATAAGAAAAATGCAGCTGTGTGCAAATGTACATTTATTCACAGACAGGTCTAAACGTAATGCATTCATACTCGACTGACTTCTTCCTCGCATGTCTGAAATTCTCTGAACTTGTAAAGGAGGGAAATGAACCATAGACAGGGCTTTTGAAATGTATATCTTCTGAAACAGTGAATCTGTTCACTCAAACACTTGTCTCTTCCTACGTGTAAGCCATCCCAGCCCGTGGATACAGTTCATGAATTTGGGCTTTTTAGTTCCGCATCCCCTCAAACAATTCCAAGCAACCTATCTACTAGGATAGAGGATAACCTGTTCAGATGAATAATTCAGGGAATATTGCTCAAAACCCTTACTGATATGAAGAAAAAAATTAATACATGAAACATTTGTAATTTAAAATTTATAACAAGTGCACTGCACCTTTCCATGGCAAATTGATATTTTGCTTATAGCAAAGACCAGATTCTTAGCCTTTCAAAAATAAATGACCTAATAGGTAAAGTGCATCTGTAGCTGTAAGCACAGTTCACAGAGAGTTAAGGATAACTTTAGTGTGCTCTAAATTGTATTTGGAGAAGTTTACACGACCAACTCAGGCCACTCATATCAATCATTTTACCAATTTTAAAAAGTCATCTATCTATGTATGATGAATTAGGTTCTGTTAGAACTCAATTACAGAGTGATATGTTTTTTTTTTGTGACACATGAAGCTATTACAACTCAGCCCTACATTACATGGTAAATCGTGCTTTTGGCTTCTCACTACTCAAAGCGCTTTTACACCACACACTGAAGGCAGAGGCTGCTATGTAAAGTGACTATCTGAAGTAAGCTATCCCATTGATACACATTCACACTTAACCAATGAAGCAGTGGGAGCATTTGGGGGTTAAGTGTCTTGCCCAAGTACAGATTGGACATGTGGCTGCAGGAGCTGGGGATTGAACACCCGACCTTCTGGTTGAGAGACGACTGACTCCACCAACTGAGCCTCAGCCGCCACATTACAGTTCAAGAATGATACTGTCACTTTGTCTTACATTTAACTTCTGAGGATGCTTATTTTTTTCAGACAAGCAGCTTGAGCCTCTGTCTTTTAGCACACTATTGTTATATGAACTTTATGGTGTCATTTAGTGCAAATGTAAACCCTGGACTAACCTGGAGCCATTAAAAACCCACAAGAGACAGTCCTTTAACCAACTAGTTTGAGCCAAAATGAAACGTAACTTAATGACTAAAATATGTGGACAACAGTTGCTATTCAAGCCTTTAAATAAAACAAATGTTTTTGGCATTAACATGATAATTTCTCCCATATTCTTTCCCATCAGAGACAAGATCCTGTTGCTTGGGGTACCACCTTCGCAATGGCGTCCAAGAAAGTGCTGGAAATCCGTTACAACCTGCTGCCTTACCTCTACACACTGATGTTTGAGGCTCACACCAAGGGAAACACAGTAGTCAGACCACTCCTGCACGAGTAAAGACACACACGGAACACACACATGGCTTATCTTTTATCCTAACATCATGTTCCAAGCTTTATATATAATCATTTAATCAAATAATTTATCTATTACCAGACTATTTTTTTTTCCTTTTGATTTCCTGGAGGGATACACTGATTTTATACTACATTAATTCTCATTAGTATGCAGAAAATCTCATGTGGAGGCTTCTAGACTTAAAAAAACAAAACAAATAGGTATCGCTTTCATTTAATTGCATCAGCACATTTGCAGCATCTCTCTTTAAATACCCAACTCATTTCCAGCAAGTTGTCAAAATGTTACCATTAAAGCAGCCCTTTTTAGCAACAGCTGTTAGCGGTTTAATGTGAGAAAACATTTATTTGCTCATTTTGAATTATTTCACAAGCAATGGAAAATTAGAAATGTCTACCCTGGCATAGCTGCTGCATTACAAAGAAAAAAAAAAAGCCCTTGGGCAAGGCACTTGTCTCCCGAGACTGGAGGCCAACCACAGATTACTTTGGCTAAACTTGGCAGCTCCAAGGTATAAATATGTGCCACTAAATGCAAAAGAAGACATATTTATTCATTGAGAGTCTTATAAAGTCACAGATGGTATTTAAGTAGCTGGCAGGGTGAGTGTGGCTGCATCTTCAAACCACTGAATTCTCAATGACTACTTGAATTGTCGTCTATGCTGAGGACACAGGAGAGGGTGTCAGTGTCAGTAACACATTTTCAATTAGACTTAACGGTGTCTGTCCTGATGTGTTGTAGGTTTGTGAAGGATAAAACCACATGGGATATCTACAAGCAGTTCCTGTGGGGACCTGCCCTGCTTATCTCTCCTGCCCTCGACCAGGTAAACACACGCACACACACATTTCATTTTACCTCTTAACGCTATCATTCTAAACATGTCACAGATGCAACTGGCAGTAAGTTCAAGGATAGTTATGAATCCATTTCATCGTCCCTTTTTTTCTTCATGTCATTAATTTGACTTTTTCATTTTTGATGACTGACTTTGTAATCAACAGGGAGCCAGACATGTGGATGGCTATGTTCCTGATGCACGCTGGTATGACTACTACACGGTGAGTCCATGCCCATAACCATCAAAGAACACCTGGAAACAAAAGTGCCTCACAAATGCTCCTATGTTCTTAGTTATTTGTTTCAGCAACAAAATTCATGACATACGTTAACAGGTTGGATATAAAAAACAAATTAAGGGATTGTAAAATAACTTATTTTGATATTGTTAAAATCTCTTAAAGAATAATAATTAATAAAAAAAATCAATCTTTTTTTTAATGCAGTATAACTCATCTTAGGTGAATATTATTGTTTTCTCTCAGGATAACTTGTTTCAGTCAGATATGTATCAAACAAAATGGCATTGTTCCTACACATTCAACCCAAAAGCAATAAGAGTCATACGGTTTCATATTATTGAAAGAGTAACATAATTAGACTTGCTGATAGAAACATATATTGTATAAAACATGGATGTATGTCAGTGACAGTAGTTTTAAAGCACAACAATGGCGGTGGCCATATTGGAAATAAAACAAAAATCCAACTGGTCATTTTTTTTTTACCAATCAAGTAAATATCTATTGAGACTTTTAAAGTTCTGTGTATCAGGCTGTATACATGGTTATTTTTACCATGAAAATTGGCATTCTAACATGGGGTTAAATAGGGAATCCATGGCCTTTGGAGCCAGCCTCAAGTGGACACTTGAGGAAATGCAGTTTTTTTACTTTCAAATTGACTTTATTTTTCAATGCCGGGGGGTGACTCTTGTTTCAAACATTCATAGACATTGTTTGTAGTCAATAAAAAGCTTCATTAAGTGCATTATTTTTGATGATTCAAAGCACTGAATTAGATTAGCTAAGATATGCTTTATGTTGGGGATTTATTCTAATAAAAATAATTGCAGGCAGGCTTTAGATGATAAAACCAAAACTACAACAAGGACTGAAATAAAAATATTAACAACATTTTTTAACAACGTTTTTGGCATCAGTAATAATGACCTAAAGCTCCACAACTGCAGAAGGTGTCCCGCTAACAAAAACAACCATCCAACTGCTTTATCTCTTTCTAGCTAAGGGACTCCCCATCTGTCTGACAGCATCATAAAGCCAAACAAAACACAAGACACAACAGTATAAATGTTGGCAAGGGAAGGTTGAGAGGAGTGGTTACCTCCATTTAACTTGTCTCTTCAGCACACAAAAAGGTGCAAGCTGTTCGAGGAAGGTCCAAGAGCAGAGCGGAAAATACTGGATTTAAAAAAAAGAAGTTTGCAAAGAACTCTTTGGGTGTGTAATAAATCACTGAAATGACTCAGACGCAGCCTTTATGTCACATTTTTTTACTGCGTGCTTTGTGATTTACCACCCTAGAATGCCAATATCTCACAAAGGAATTGTTGAATGAAAAGAGTCAAAGTCAAATGACCCAGTATTATTGCTATCCTGTCTTAATTATCTTTGCTTTCATCAGGGCAAATATGTGGGAGTGCGGGGTCAAGTGGTCAGGATGCCCACACCTTTGGATCATATTAACCTTCATATCAGAGGGGGACACATTATACCCTGCCAGGAAGGAATAAGAAATACATTTCACAGGTAAGTGTACACACATTTGACTGACAAATCCTAACAGCCACAGGACTTAATCCTGTGTTTTTAAGTTTGTGTTGTCTGCCTTTTGTGCCTCAAAGCTTCAGCAGAGGTAGGTTGCCATGTGTCACCAACTCCAATCCAAACGAACGTCACCTATGGTTGTAAGTGTGTGGGTGTTAAAGAAAGACAAAGTGAGAATGAGAGAGAAAGACAGTTAGAGGGTGATGAGTGTTCCTGTAGCAGTGAGATCAGGTGGATGCTCCCAGCAGGAATGTTAATGTATTTGTCCTCAGCAGCGGGTATAAATAGATGTTGTCCTTTAGCAATCTGCTATAACCCTCTTTACCCCTCCTGTTTCAGTCGGAGGAATCCTCTAGGACTGATCGTCGCCCTGAGCGACAGTGGAACTGCTCAAGGAACGCTCTTCTGGGACGATGGGGAAGGAATAGGTAAGTGTAGGGTCATATGAACATCCAAAACACACACACACACACACACACACACACACACACACACACACCAAAATGAAGGTTCTTCATGGAATGTTAAGAAAATTCATGTTTTAACATGTGTTCTTAGGCACTGATTATTACATGAAATTCACCATTTGTTGGAAGAGCTATAGTCTAGGAAATATCTGTTAGCTGGTATAGGTTTATTTCTCCATGAAAACCATTGATGGTAGATAGCATAGTTAGCCTTGCTAGCCTTGCAATGTTAAACTGTCTGGTCTGTTGGTGAACCACTTTCTAATCTCAACAATCAAAACCAATATTTGAATGATGGCAATTATGTTTCCACATAAAATTATTTAAGATAAACCCCAAGCTTTACATCGAGTGCATCGTTAGGTCTTTTTTAAAGGAAGAATGTGGGACATTTGATCCAGTAGATGTTTGCCATAAGCCTCCACCCTCCTCCAGTCACACACCTCCACAACCCCCCTCCCCTTGCTTTCATATGAAGTATTCAAGCGCAAGCGGTGGACAACATTGTCCTTGGCTCAAGCTGTAATTGCCCGTGGACCAAGTTGTTTTGTTAGCGGGCTAATGCCAGCACACTTTAATTAGCATGTAGCTTTGCACTGCATGTAAATTTACACAGAATGATCTAAAAATGATTACGTGACATTCAAATAAGTGAGTATGTCATTCTTTTTTTCTGTAGTCCTAGACTCAAACAGCTTTTATACGCAAGGGGAGGAGCTAGTCGTCCCCTCCATGTAAACACGGCTCCGACAACAACACAGCCAGCGGGACTCACACTTCTTACTCATTGTCGACAGTCTTGACATAGAGTCAGAGCAAATTCTTTCTTTAAAAATGTGTTCAGCATTTGGGTTTATGAAAATCCCTCCTAAAACCAATGTCACTTTCACTAATAACAGATGTGATTTGCTTATCGCAAATAATAGCATACAAAATTCATAAGAGCATGCTAGCGCGCTACACATACACCTCAATGCATCTTTGAGGTTTAGAAGAGAAAGGTGCCTGAAGATCTGTGACAGTACAGCCTAACAAAGCTGCTAGCTTAGCTGTAGATTTTTTTTGTTCATTTGAAAATCAAAAAAGAAGAACCTCCCTAAAAAATCTCAGAATGGAAAACAAAGAAGCTAAGACGCTAACAAACTTGAAACCAGTGGTTCTCAACTGGTGGGTCGGGACCCAAAAGTGGGTCACAGTCATTTTCAGCGGGTCACGATTCTGTGCCGGGAGGAAAATGCTGTCAAAAAGTCTATGAAACACTTTTTTAAACAAGTTTGTTTCATTGAGGTTCTTTGTTCTGTCACGCTTACGTCTGAGGTCCTAACTGCACAATTTTTATTAAAATAAATCTGATTGATTGAAAAATACAATAAATTTAGGTCGCAATTTAAAAGGAGTAGTTGGTGGGTACTGAGGCTCAATTGGTTGAGAACCACTGCTTTAAATAAACCACAGATCATGGAGTAGTTCTTTAATTTCCATGAACAACTTGATTTGAACCTAAACAGCATCTAAGAGTATAAAAGACACCCACACATATGTATGACGCCCCTGCAATAGTCCATTGATAAATTATTTTTAACTCTTTAGGGTCACACATTTTGCCAACTTTTGGTGCATATATTGGCATGCAGATGAAAATGATTAAACATAGAGTCTTAATTTTGTTATTTACAGAAGACACCATCATACTTGGTGTTTCTATCAACCATCCATCAGAATCTGCATTTATTTACCGTAGAGATATTTTAATTTAGGAAATTAAGATCCATATGAATTATTAGTATCCCAGTATGTCCTAAACGTATGTACATTCAGAGAACGCACATAGTTATTTCCACTGAATATGAAATTCTTCATTGATTTTATCAGACAGACACAGAAAACTACATCAAAGCTCCTTCTCCACTGTCTCACTCGCTCGCCCTCCCTCTCCCTCCCTCTGCCTCTCTCACGCACTGAGATATGAACAGAATCGGCCTCTGAAGTGCCTCTGAGAGAGATGCACTCCTCTATGAAAGGCGTGTTTGTGTTGGGACAAAGAGAGGAAAGGAGAGATAGAGAGAGAACGAGGGATGACAGAGAAGGGGAGTGACAGAAAGTATTACAGTAATTCTCCGTGTCGCTGCCTGGAGATACGCTCTCCATCACTCCTCTTTTATCTGCTCGCTCGCTTCTCCCGTCTGCGTCTCCCTGCCTGTCTGCAGCCGAGCCTCGCTGTGTCTTTCTTGTTTGCTTTGCCTCTCCTGCTCACCTGCATTATCTGCTGTTCCTGCATGTTTGAGTTTCACTTCAAAGGGTTTCACTTTGCTGTCAGTCAGACTGTGCATTAGTCACTCATTCATCAGTTATCCTCTCATTCATTCAACTTCATTCGTTTTAACCAGTCCTGTGCCCAAACTCCCCTGATTTTATTATTCGCTCATTTACGAGACAGCTGATAAGTCAAGGTTATGCTGTGTGATCAGTCAAAGTATGGGGGGAGTCTAGCAGTTACTCATGAGACAGTTTTTGTTGTTTATTCATGCAAATATTCAGTGTTTCTTTCACTCAATAATGCAACCTTCCTAACTCACTTCCGCTCACCCTGTATGTAATTTACTGTTATTTTCTCTCCTCAGGCACAATTGAGAGTAAACACTACCTGCTGACCACCTTTACAGCAGCACATGTAAGTTCAAGGGCTAACTGCATGTCTTGTCTCATTCTGTCTTTCCCACCATTATTGTTATTAATGCAGTACAACTGGAGAATGAGGCCATTTCATTATCATGGATTGTACTTAGCAGGATTGAAAAGCTAACCGTTTCAAACTATTAGCACAACGATTATGTCTGACTGTGAGTTAGTTAGAAAAAATAAGAACTTCAACGATTTCTCCTTCTGACAAAATTTTCAGTTTAAAAACTGCATTCATGATGTTGTTAGCAAAGTAATATTAGTTGGGGTTTTTTCCCAACAATAAAGGAACATCACTGTTACAAGTAGCTCTAGTTTCAGAAAGTTCTAACTACCATATACAAAGACTTTAAAGGTCACATACTATCCTCCTTTTCAACCAGTTTAAATAAGTCTCAGAGCTCCTCAAAACATGTCTTGGAAGTATTTTAGCACACCTTTAAACCCCTCTATTTCAGCCCTGCTCAGAACAGGCTGTTTCTGTGTCTGTAGCTTTAAATGCAAATGAGCTGTTTCCGACCACGCCCCTCTCTGGAGGTGCATGTGCCTTAGGCTTTCTTTCTCCATGCCCTATTGTTAATAGTGAGAAGGCAGACTCAGAGGGTAGAACAAACACCTAGCTGTGGGAGTGTCCTCCACCTGGGGGAGGGGTTACTGCCCTTTGTTATGTCATGAAGGGAAAATCTCCAAACGGCGAGTTTGAGAACACATTTTCTGAAAAGTGAAACAGGCAAAAGATGGAGAAGATGGACTTTTCTTATAATTGGGGGGTTTATAGACAAACTAGGGACAAATATTAAGCCGTTTTCACATATGCACTTTGGATAATATCTAGATAATTACAGGAGAACCGCTCCGGAGATTCTCCCGACCTAGCCGTTTGCGTTCACATATAGCCTAAAGCCCCTCCGAGTAGCCTAATCTCCGGAGTTTTTCAGGAGATGTCCATATGTGTGTAAAGGGTTTTAGTGTTAGAAAAACATGATAATGTGAATTTTGCATAATATGTGACCTTTAACAGTTACACTTCTGCAGCTCTAAAGGCAACAAAAAAGGTGATGTGGAGAGGATTTTGAACATTATCGTCCTGTATTCTCCATTTCTTTTGATGTACAATTCAGCAGTCATGTGCATATCGTGATGACACAAGTATTTAAGCAGCTATGTAACAAAGCAGATACATTATGTTACATGTTGCCAAGTCCTTATGTAGAATTTTATACTGACAATCAAATTATCCAGTTGTAAAAGTAGAAATCCTTTTGTTTAATACCATCGCCAAGCAAAGATCCCTAATGAAGTCACAATGTCATAACCGCCAGGTGTGGCGCTTTTGTTGTGCACGCACCTGTTTAGTGTTTCTCTCGTTCCAAAAGAACACTCTCGCATCGAGGTGACTGGAGTGGAGCAGCTGTGGTTGTGTTTATGCAGATCAGAGTGCATTTCTGGTGCTTGTTTTGGCACACAATTGCACTTAATTTGCTGTCTACACTGACAAGCTCTTGTCTCAAACACAAGCACAAAATAAGCGATTGTGTAGCTTTCATTCTGAGAGCACAAACACAGATTGCAAAATAACACACAAAACAACATTATCTTTGGTTTTAAAAGTAAATTAAAGTACAACTTTTATTAAGATGAATGCAAACACTTAAGGATGACTAAGAGACCCCTCTGTAGATTTAATGTCACCGTTAATAATTCCCTATTATTCAGTATTGAATGTGTTCTGAACAGCAGATATTAGGTTTGAATTTAGACAATTTGGACAACAAGTCACTCAATATGAAGGGCTGTATTGATATTAGATTCAAATTAAAATCTATAAAACCCTATATAAAATGCTCCCTTATTCCGCTGCTGACATTGTTTAAATAAAAAAGGAACCCTTAATGTAATGTGCCTGAATCTTCTGGCTAATTTCCAAGTGAGTTTGTAGCACACCATAGTTTGATCACATTTTGAGTCGGACATGACAGGCACTCTAATCACTGGCACTAATGGGACTAAGCCCAGCCCTATATGCTTTTTAGGCGAGTAAAAGCCCACAATAAAACACAAAGTCACACATTATTGAGCATCCTTTCAAACAAACACACATACACATATGTACATGCACACATCCAAAGAACACACAAACCCACTAAATGCTAGCATGGCCAAACATCTGTGGCTGTCCTCTGCCTACCATCAGGCTCATTCCAAAGCAATTTCACACAGCTATAAAACAGGCACACTATCTGACAGCCAAAGGGGGAGAGAGTGAGAACGAGAGTCTAAGTGTGTCGCTGTGTGTGTGTGTGTCTTTGTGCACACACGTTTGAGTGGGTGTATGTTTGAACAGACAGATGTGAGAAGATGAGGATAAGTTGGGCAATGAGGCTAGTGCTGCCTGGCAGATTAGCAGATCGTATGCCATTTTGGATAGCTATCTGAATTGTGTGTGTGTGTGTGTGTGTGTGTGTGTGTGTGTGTGTGTGTGTGTGTGTGTGTGTGTGTGTGTGTGTGTGTGTGTGTGTGTGTGTGTGTGTGTGTCTATAAGAGTTGGACGTTTAGGGAAAGGCCAGTCCCACATAGTGTGAACATTTTTGTCTTCCTCAGTTTAACTTAAATAAATTGATGATCAAGGAACTCAAATGTGTACATGATTGTGTGAGCGTGTTATACACACACACACACACAATCAGTATGTGTGTTTCTCTGCAGATGACTGTCTTTTGATTTTACACAGTAAGAAATTGAGAAAATGAACCATAAATTGTTCTTTATTTCATACATCCCGCTCCATCTGTTTGCGTCACCCTCCCCTCTGCATTGCTTTTTCTCTCCCAGAACAAACTAAGCAATAAGATTGAAAACAGTGGCCTGGCTGCTGGTGACCAGCTGACCCTGGGCGTGGTGAAGGTGTGGGGAGCAGGCACTGCTAACATCACAAAGGTGGAACTCACAGATGAGGGAGGAACTGTGCATTTGCTGACCCCAACGCAAAACCTCGACACTCAGGTGAGATGAGTTTTTGATGTCACCATTCAGTCATGCATAGTCCATTTGTGTCATGGATTTGAAGATATCTTCTTTTTATTTTGTCAATGTTTAATGACATGCCGTGTAGTAAACATTTGATCCATGATAGCATAAAATAGTCCTGTCCGTCTTATCTTACATTACAGTTTCTAACAGGGATAGAATCATGTTTTTAATGGTCTCTGCAGGAAATGGTCCATGAAAGCAAAAGTTCTTAACGTAAATGAAATGCCACAGTCTGACTGATGGTGTTTAGTATACTGAAGGAATGTGCGTATTCATGTATTATATTTTACTTAAAATTAAACCAACTACATCATGCTTTATCTTCAAAGCAGCTGACACAAATACAAGAAAACTTTAGATTCATAGACATTAGTATCCACAACAACTTTTCTGTAATGTATTACATTTTTTTTAATTTTTTTGGGGGGGGCTTTTTGTGCCTTCATTGTATAGATAGGTACAGATAGACATATAATGTATTTATTATACAGATAGGACAGTGGATAGAGTCAGAAATCAGGGAGAGAGAGAGTGGGGAACAACATGCGGGAAAGGAGCCACAGGTTGGATTTGAAACCTGGGCAAGTGGACAACTTCCTCTGTACATGGGGCACACGCACTAACCCTTATGCTACCGGCATCCCACTCACCGATCATTTATACTATAAATTAATAGGCTAAGGCATGTCCTGGTAAAAAAAAACTGGACAGTCTTATCTGATGTGTATACATGCTGCATCCCATCATACACTACATTTTTGTTTTGGTAACATGAAAAACAGATTAATCAGTGTCTCACATGCATACGATCACTGTCATTGCATATAACAGTTCACTTCACACATTCATAACATAGCTCAGTGAGCCTCATTCATCGCTGCATGCACATATTTCATTAGCACAACACAGCATTCAGGTTGATGGAGCACTTCCCTGCCAGTCAAAAACTGTCACTTTGATATGAAGAAGAAAAAAAAGTACCATCAGGTTCACAACCGAACCCCTGCTGTGCCACACTCTAATAGCTGTAATCAACTCTGCATCCCCCTGACAGGGTTGTTTTGTAATAAAGACTCCACTCAGGACAGCGGTTTGAAAGCTACTCGTGTAAAATGATCGTCACTTTCCTGTTGCTCGCTCTCAATCATCTCCTCCAATGGTTAAACGGGGGGGGGGGTTGGGATTGTGTACACAAGGCTACACCATGTGGCCTTTTATAGCACTTGATCCATGATGATACATTAGTCTAAAATGCCTCCCAAGTTCCCAAGCACCAGGAAATGCCTTTTGCATTTATGTACAAATCTCCTCCCTAGTGTCCTCAAGAGAGTCAAGGTCAACCACATACATTTTGCTACAACAGAGAAGTCATTGCAATGCACAAGGACATTTGAGTCTTCAGTCGGGTGGATGCCAAGCAAAACAGGACTTCAGCTGAGGTCAGACAGCTGAAAGACATTTTTTGTGAGGTCACAGAGAGAGATAGCTTTAAAAATCTTAACAAGGTTAAAAGTAATCAGGAAGTATTCGAGTTTAGGTCACACCAGGATTTGGGGGGGGGGGGGCTGGAGTGAGCTATCTTACAGTTTTTGACTTTCTATTTGTTTGATACGGTGGATGGGTGCTACACACGTTTGCTACAACAAGTGTAAACTAGAATAAAGGGCCAAGTTTAAGAAGATAGCATGTGTTCTCTTTTCTCATTTGGTCTGTGATAAAATATTCCTGTCTAGGTTGTGTACTGTACTCAGCGCACTTATCGGGAGCATGAAAATGATTGCGGCAGCAGCTCCATAAATAATCGTAGGTGGGGAAAAAAAAGCCCAGAAGCTTTTGATTTATACTGCTCTTGGAGAAGACAGACAGAGAGAAGCTAGCAGAGACGGTAAGAATTGCAGATGAAGAATGTCAGAATAAAGGGGGGTTGGGGGGTATTTTGAGAGTATCTGTGTTGGGCATTGGCCAGAGAATAATGAAAAGACAGAGAAAGACATGCAGTCCATCTTTAGAAAGGAGGGAAGGAAGGACACAGAAAACAGATGGAGAGAGGAAAAGAGAGGTGAAAGAGATAAACAGGGAGAATGAAAGATGGGCGGGAGGGAGGGAAGAAGGGCATAGAGAAGGAGAACGAGGGGATGACACAGTGCGGGCATGGTAATAAGTGGTGTTTCAGTGTGAGACAATCCATTCATCTCCTTAAGTATTGTCTGATAGGGTAACAACTTGAAAGGAGCAGTGAGCAGCTGGTGCTGTGTCATTTAAATACAGTGAGGTAGGAGAGCTATTTCTGTTCGAGTACAGCACAAGATGTTTTATTCTGAACCTATATAGGCCTCTTCATTCTGTCATGTACAATATCTCATCACATGGATAAGCGCAGACTTGTTTAACTTTACCAGGGACCCATACTGTTTATATGGCAGGAGAGAAATGGGATTAGTCCCTTTTAAATTGGATTCAAGGAACATAAAATAGCCGAGGGGAAGGTTCGGTACGTTTTCACGTCTCTCATATTTAGAAGACATGACTTTTGAAGGAAGTTACAAAACACAGGGCAATATCTGTACATCCTTACCATCCTTTAGGTTTATACAAGGGGAGAAGTTAGGTACAAGCATTGCAAGAATTATAACATGTGGACACTAGGAGGAATAGCTGAGCTCCAGGGTACGGCTCCTAACAAATAAACAAATAGCAGACCTGCATATGCAGAAAATAGGCTGTTATCCACACTCACACCCACATCCATTGATCATTTGGACTTGGCATTTTGCAATTACTTGCAACTATCGTGCCCTTCAAAGGAGAACCAACAGATACAGGGACTCTTTTTAAACATCCGCTATCAGGCTGTTGAATGCTGAACAACTTTAACTCTAATTGGTTATGGTCAGATCATTAAGCAACCTGTAAGGTTTTTTTTTTATTGATGATTCAATTTACTGAATACATTTCTGCCATTGTATTTATGCATTATTTATTTAAAAAACGTAAAATCTGGTCTCTCAGTTTGTCATTGATCTGTGGTTACTGGCATGTGAATGTAATTTTCAGAATGCTGCTGTGACTGTGTTCGTTTCCTTTTAAAGCAAGAATGTGCGACTTTTTGATCCATTAGGTGTCACCCTTGAGCACCAGCATGAAACCAAAACAAACTGCTGCTTGGTGACAACTCCACCACACTGAATCCTTTCAATCAGAGGTTGGAGGTGTGTCGCTGCTCTCCTACAGCGACACACCTTAAACCTCTTTCCCCTTGCGTTTGCACAAAGGTGGTATCAAATTGGAACCCTCGTAATTAAGCGCTAAGTGCAAGCAACGGACAAAATTGTCCTCGTCTCGAGCTGCATTTTCGTGTTAGCAGGCTTATGGTAGCGCTCTTAAGTTTGCTAGTAGCTTCACATTGCATGTAAATTTATACGGAATGACCATGATCTAAAAAACGCTGACTGGACATTCAAATAAGCAGTGAGCACAGTATGTTATTCTTCTGTTCTCTTGTCCCTCACTTAAATGGCTTTGTGGTAAACACGATGTAAATCCACTCAGACTACAGCGGGACCCGCGTGTCTCACTCATGGTCACAGTCATGACTTAGAGAGATATTTACAGATGATATACTTCCTGTCTGCTATATTTATGTGTCAAATGTTGCACATTCTTCTTTTAATGCCTCGGTAGGCTATGAAACTAAATTGTCCTTCTGGGATTAATAAAGTCCGAATCAGAATCTTGTATTTGAGGCCTGTATAGACAGCTCAAATCAGTGTCAGTCTCCATGTATAAATGTTAAACCTATATATGTGGAACTTTGTGGACTATGACGGAAACACTGTCGACATGTATTCTTCTTGTGTCCGTAGGAGCTGATTGTGGATGCTACTACAAAGTATGTCCGTGTGCATGAACCCTTTTCCATGGTGTGGAGCACCAGTGACTGATCAAATGAGTAGTTTTCCTGGTGAATAATTATCATACCTGTACATAGTAATCTGTTTAAAAAAAAATGATGATGTAAAAATAATGAACTGATTTATTTGTAACTTCAAAAGATGAGCCTATAGCTGCATGTTGTTGTTTCTTTTATTTTTGGTTGTATATCACAGCCTAATACAAGCAGTTTATCTTTACACATCACTTTGCAAATTAACCTGATGTAACATTTCATTCAGATGAGTACTCAATTATATTTTCTGTTTTGGATAACTAATTGGACTGTTTTATGTTTGTTGGAATAACAACAGTATAAAATTATGAATTATTAAAGAGCTTGATTTTTTTCTTAAATCTTTTTTTGGTCTCTTTATTTCAAATAACTTTATTCCCATTCACACACTGATGGCAGGGGCTGCTATGTAAAGTGACCTTCAGAATGATCTCATCTCATTCATACACATTCAAACACATTTATACTGTACACTGTCGAAGCAGCGGGAAGTAACTTGGGGTTAAGTGTCTTGCCCAATGACACATTGGACAAGTGGCTGCAAACGCTGGAGTTGGATCCCCTAACTTCGGGTTGCGAGACGACCAACTGAGCGCCACACTCACCAGCAAGGGCAGAGGAGAAGAGATTGCTACCAAGTTAAGCTTCATCTTGAACCAGGCTTTTCAAGACCCTCCCTTCGTCGACCCATTCTGACTTTCCTCATCTGACACCTTAAAGTTACACAAAATGACTTTCGATGAAGACCAGTGAATGTAAACGTTGGTTTAAAACATCTGTTGGACATTTTACAGCGTAGAATCACACAGGCTTTGGAAGTAAGTAACAAACAGATGTTAGTTTCATCAGCAAGAAATAAACTAATGTCCATGTTTTAATTCACCTTTAAATTTACATTTTTTTTGAGAGAATTTTATAATTGTGGCTTTCATATTGCACTTTATTTTGTAGCGCACATTTAAATACATGCTAGTTGACTTTGCTGTTTCAGATTTCAAGTCATTGCTCCACAATCCATTTAATAGGAGAGGGAAGAATTGTTAACCTAATTTGTGTCTGCAACACATTACCTGCAGAGTGAGACATTTTATGAGATTGTTCTGGCCTTTTTATTCCATCGCACAGAGGCATCAGTGGGAAACCAACTGCTGTGCACAGAGTGAACAGGTGTCCTGAATAAAATAACAAACAGCCAAAACTAATGACCAGTGGAAGGAACCGCATGCAGCATCTCCGGAAATGTACTTTTGATCATTGGGAATGCTTTGATTTAAGAGACACATGATGCTTTGATAGATTCCCTTCAGTCACACAAGTCCCCAGCACAGTGACAAAGACCTAAGTGGAATTATTAAGTGCAGTTTAAAAGCACAGTTAGTGCCACTGCTCTCAGTGATCCTAAAACTGCACATATGCATGCATGTTTGAGTGCATGTATTTGCGAGTGTGTAGCCGAGCCAGAGACTAGACACTAATAATAGCGCTCACCTGCGGCAGGTCGTTTACCTGTGCTTTGTCTCATCCCATTACCGCCCCATTATGATACAGTCATCCATAATTCAGCCTGCAGTGAATGTAATGATATCAATCCAGCCAGGGGCCCCTCAAATTGATTCCCACGCTAATCGCCACTCCACTTTTTGAATGTACAGGGCTGTTACTGTTGAATGCCGTAACACCAACAAATGTTGGTGTGTGTTGAAAAAAAAAAAAAAAAGATTTATTCCGGCTCCATTTTTCAGGTGATATTTTATTTTGAAGGGAGAAGCTTTCTGTTTTGACTTTTAAAAAAAACAAAGCCAGCCACCCACGAGCGGCAGCAGGACTAATTGAGCTGGTGATCTGACACAGCGTTGTTCCTGGAATCATGCAGAAGTCATAACACTGCCGCTTGAAGATATTAAAACAGTAGAGAAAACAGTGAAACAATCAAGGCCTTTTTCTCTTCTTTTTTTTTTTTTTCATCTACACTTGTGATTTCTGGATTTGTCATTTGGTATAAAAATATTACATCTCTGATCTTGTTGGAGAAATAAACTTGATGCAGAATGCCCCCTGACTTTACTGTCTACAGCCGGTTGTTGTTGAAAATAAGTTCTATTGCCTGTTTTTTTTTTCTTTCTGTCAAAAAATGTGTTTGAACCACCTCGACAGACAACACCACGGGTAAACTCAAATCTAGCTTTCTTGTTAGACAACAAGAGGACAACAAATCTGTTCATGATAGTATGTGTTGCCTCAAACTTTTAAAGTGCAAACTGACTTAATGCATGAGTTATTCAATGGCACTACGGTTTGGATATAATGAGTGTAATCTGTCACATATAACACAATGTAAGGGATCCATATCTATATTTTGGTTGATGTGGAAAAAAGAAACACAAACTGTTATGGAGATAGTAACCTTGTAAACACAGATATTAAAGTCTGACTCAAAAAAACAGCATCACTCAGACATAATGGCATCCAGTGTCCTGAAGTCCAGGTAACACTCTTCACACTCCAGAACACAAACTTTTATGATTTTAAAGATCCTCAAAATGTTCTGTACTCTTTTTGTGACTGCTGTTGCGCGACACTTTTCAAAGACATTCCTCGTTGCTATTTTATTGTCAATACGTCAATATGTTTCTCTCTGACTTCCTTAAAGAGAACACGCCTGTTCTAATGAGCTGACGTAACAATGTCTTTGTTGCTCAGTTGACTCACAGATACAAGTCTGTCACAGATAAAGGGGGGGGGGGATAAAACAAAGTGAGAGAGAGATAGAAGCTTTGACAACTTCAGATGGGATTGCTTTGCATGTGTGTGTGTGTGTGTGTGTGTGTGTGTGTTGTACTACCTTGCATTGAGCCCTTCATGAAATGCTACACATGCTAATATAAATAGCAATATAATTATAATAATTGTAGAAGTCTATCTTTTTTTATTTATTTAGTGAAATAAGTGAAAACACATTGTATTTTAATGTGCTTATAATGGAATTAAAATAATGGGCTTCACAGTGGTGCAGTGGTTCGCGCTGTTGACAGAAGCCTTTCCTAGCCTATTTGGATATTAGGCAGCTTCATTGTGCAACACTAAAAGGTGTCTCATAATATCCTGAGTCATGGTCACATGGATTGTTTTGTTCTTACAAAAAACAAGAAGACATTTTTCAATTCCTTAAATTGACCACCTTTGTTTAGCTTTTTTTGCTCATTAAGTCCAGGAAGTACTGGTATAGCTACATCTTAGACCATACGTTTGCTATGAAAAGAACTACAGAGGAAGGCTCTATTAAGAAAATGACATATAACACCAGACATGCCCATTTAGACTCCCAATAGGATGTATCATTTGTACCTATGTGCAGCACTTTTCTATTGATGGAGGTCAATATGCTTGATGTATTTCTTAGGGCAAGTAAGAAATACATCAAGCATATTGCAAATATAAATGTGTCCTTGTCTCACTTTTCTTCTTCTCATGCTCCTAATTCCCTCTGAAGAACACACTAACACACACCCTTATCATCCATGCACACAGACAAATTACATTATATTCAGCCATTTCATGTGTTTGACACCATACCTCAACAATACAACTTTCCTTTCCCCTCCCATCTGACGCCCATTTAGGGCAGTCATGCACATTGGCCCACTGAGAGTCCACACCAATTAGTGTTTCTGCATTGCATCAAAGGGACATCAGTTTTACGGACCTAGACCAAGAAAAAAATGACAATCTTTAAAGAATCCGACGATGATGAGGAATAAATACTACATAAGAGACCTCAGTGGAGGTAATTGAAAGAGAGATGAGAGACTCCCCTTCTGGCAGCTTGGGGGAAAAAGTGCCATGGGAAGAACTTGTTTTCTTCTTTCTGTATTGTTCATCTCCTTGGTGGATTAAAATTATGTGGTTGTTGTCATCTCATTTATTCTATTTCTTGGTGCTACAGTGCCATTAAAGTAAATAGTAGGTTTCTTGATGTCTCTCTTTTGCTAACTACTTTAATTTCACACAACATTTCTGCTTGGAAAATACATCTCTAACCCTTCGTTATAAGATTGCAAATAAAGGTCTTGAATATAAACTGACAAAATGACAATACCAGCATCATATTGTACTTGAGGTAATATCGTTCCACTAGTTGATTTGAGTCAAATCACATTGAGATTATTAGAATTATACATGGTTACAACTACCAGGAGTTCCATCCTGGCTGTGTAACAGTGGATCTGCTCTTTACCCTCCCAGGGCTTCTTGGGGGGGAATGGGTGTTTGCTCATCCAAGTCTACATGTGTTTAGTGGACTTGGAGGAGGCCTACGACCATGCCTCTCGGGGGGGAATGCCGGGGGTACTGCAGGAATATGGGGTCCTGGGGCCATTGCTTTGAGCCATCTGGTCCCATTATGACCAAAATGAGAGCTGTGTCTACATCCTTGGAAAATAGTCAGACCCGTTTGGGGGCCTCAAGATATAATCTCAGCTTTTTGCAGATAATGTAGTTTTGTTAACGTCCTCATACTGGGACCACCAGCAGACATTTGGGCAGTTTGCAGATGACTGCAAAGCAGATGGGATGTGGGTCAGCACCTTCAAGACTGCTGTGAAAAGGTGGATTTCTCCCTCCAAGTGGAGAGTGATCATTAGTATTTCAGGGTCTTGTTCATGAGTGAGGGCAAGATGGACCATGAGATTGACAGGCGGATTGGGTCTGTTTCGACATTAACACAGGCGTTTTGTTGGACCATCTTGGTGAAGAGGGAGCAGAGCCTGAAGGCAAAGCTCTCGATTTACCTGTCGAGCTTTTTTCTATACCTCACCTATGGTCATTAGCTGTGGGTACAGACTGAGAGAATATGATTGTAGATACAAGCGGCCAAGCTCAGCCTTAGAGATAGGTTTAACAGCTCAAACATTCAGGGGGAGCTTGGATTAGAGCTGCTACTCCTTCGCATCGAAAGGAGCCAGTTGGATGGATTCTTACTACCAGGTTGTAGTTGTGTTTCAAATCAATCAATCATATGATGCAACCATCTGGAAACAAAGGACTTTTACCTATGACATTAGGTGGAATAGAAATTAAATTAGCATGGATGTTGAGAACTTGGACATTTTTCGTCTCTCATAAATGATTTAAATCAATTGACTTGGTTACTTTCCCCCATAGCTAAACTGATACATAATTGGCTGTATAAACTGAGAATAACAATGCAATGAGCATCAAACACAGTTTATTAAGACATGAAAGTAATCGAAGGTTGGAAGCGGAATATAAAAGTGTGCTTGTGGTACAATTATTTTTTTCCTACTTTGAACAGCATCAAAAGGTTAGGGCTAAAGAATCAAAT